TATATATATATATATATATATATATATATATATATATATATATATATATATATATATATATATATATATATAAAAGAAATTATATATATATATATATATTTTTTTTTTTAAGTTTGTTGAGGGTACCACCTCTGGTGCCAATGTGGGGACCCATAGCCTCGGAGAAGAAAATAAAAAGTATTCAGAGGAGACCTTGTGGTTTCTCACTGAACACTAATATTATCTTCTCCTACCACCCCCATATATATATATATATATATATATATATATATATATATATATATATATATATATATATCCTCTCTCTTCTCTCCTCTCTCTTCTCTCCTCTCTTCTCTCTCCTCTCTTCTCTCTCTCTCTTCTCTTCTCTCTCCTCTCTCTCTCTCTCTCTCTCTCTCTGGGTTAAGGGATGAGACAGGAGACTTGCAAGGCCTCGAGCACGATATATCTTAATTTAAGTAATGTGGTGTATAGCACTTGAGTGAGTTGGGAGGTGCAGAGATAGCAGCACCGCTGTGGTGGTGGTGTGGGGCGGAGGGTGCCATACCCGGCGACGTTCACCTTTAACAAACACCTGGCCCGCTTACTATCACCACCACCATTTATCCCCACCTGTGTCAAGGTAATGACTGCACCCCCCCTCCCCGCCTCCTGTTTATCTCTCTCTATCTCTCTCTCTCTCTCTCTCTCTCTCTCTCTCTCTCTCTCTCTCTCTCTCTCTCTCTCTCTCTCTCTCTCTCTCTCTCTCTCTCTCTCTCTCTCTCTCTCTCTCTCTCTCTCTCTCTCTCTCTGTGCTGTCTTTGTGCCTCCGTGATGGGGTCTTGCACGAAGTTAGTCTCCAGAATGATTTGTTTAATATACATATGAAACATATTAACAAGTGCTTCTTATTCTGCACTCTTGAGGTTACCTTGATGATTTCGGGGCTTTAGTGTCCCCGCGGCCCGGTCCTCGACCAGGCCTCCACCCCCAGGAAGTAGCCCGTGACAGCTGACTAACACCCAGGTACCTATTTTACTGCTAGGTAATAGACGCATACTGTGAAAGAAACTTTGTCCATTGTTTTTCGCCGGCGCCCGGGATCGAACCCGGGACCACAGGATCACAAGTCCATCGTGCTGTCCGCTCGGCCGACCGGTTCCTCTGAAGTAATTCCTTACGAGACCAAGAGGTATTGCAGAATACTGTGGTCATGTTAAGAAGTTGGGCTGCAGTAAGTGATCGAAGCATCTAAGGGATAATTCTATAAACATTAAAGGCCTAACATTTTCTGACACACTTCAGTTAATATATGGGCACTATTAAGAGAACTCTAAGTGTGTCAAGGTGGGAGCTTGGTAAACATCATCTGGGCCCAGATTCACGAAACAGTTACGGAAGCACTTACGAACCTGTACATTTTTTCTCAATGTTTGGCGGCTTTGTTTACAATTATTAAAGAGTTAATGAGCGCCGAAGTACCAGGAGGCTGTTTATAACATTAACAACAGTTGAATGGGAAGTTTTCGTGCTTGTAAACAGTTTAATAAATGTAACCCAAGCCGTCAAAGATTGAGGAAAGATGTACACGTTCGTAAGTACTCTCGTAACTGCTTCGTGAATCTGGTCCCAGGTACCTGGTCAACCGGGCTGTGATTCCTACATCAGACTGCGTGCAGCCGCCTCCAACGCTCCAGTTACCGGACCATCAATCGGCAGACCGTGGTCAGAGGCCCCTAGGCCTGCTGATTGGTAACTAAAGTTAATTTGTATCCACTTTCCCTTTAACGAAACTCATATGTAGCGTCAGACCAGATTGTAAAAGGGTCTATGAAGAATTTAGTCTCTTAACTTCCGACTCTAGTGAAGATCGCATGAAATATAGAGAAGTTTCATTCTAAAATAATTCATCTAACCCTTTCTGTGATATTCATTAAGAGATTCGACAAAAATGTTTGTTTCCAAAATATACAGTGATATATAGTGTGTGTTTCGTGGTGTTCTCGAAGATGGGGAGTGTATGATGACCAAGCCACACATCACGAGATGGAGACCAAGCCACACATCAGGAGATGGAGAAACGACAACGTTTCGGTCCATCGTTTCAGTGTAATAGCCGAGGCTATTTGGCCACCGTCCCGACGGCACTTTGATGGTAATCTTGGCCATAGTTATTTCATCAAATCACCACACACATTGTGTGTGTGTGTGTGTAATAATAATAATGTGTGTTAACAGTTGTGTAAGTTCCTTCACATGATTGCTGCGTGTTTAGTTAACAGAAGTATGGGGGTTCAGTTCTTAAACCTATTATGTGCCTCTGTAACCCTTCCCACCACCGCCCGCGGGACGGGTATGGGGTGCACCATACTAGTCCCTGGTGACGGAGCTTGGCAAGGTGCAGGCCAGAGACTGACCATGTATTTATAGGTCAATCCTCGACACTTTAACTACCAACGTCCACACCTCCTCCCCTCTTCCATCACCTCCCCCCAACACCCCCTCCCCCCAACTCCACCTTCCCCCTCCCCCCTCCCCCCAACTCCACCTTCCCCCTCCCCCCTCCCCCCAACTCCACCTTCCCCCTCCCCCCTCCCCCCAACTCCACCTTCCCCCTCCCCCCAACCGTCACCTGCCTTGTCGCCAATCTCGGAAAAGTGTTTTTTATAATTGTTGCAGCCACGTGAGGCCCCACCACCACCACCACCACATCAGTACTCGTGATGCTGCTGGCTTCCTGCCCGCAGTGTATGTACTCACCTATTTGTGCCTGCAGGATCGAGCGTTGGCTCTTTGATCCCGCCTTTCTAGCCTTCGGTTGTTTAAAGCAATGACTCCTGTCCTTATACCTAGTTTCCTACCTTTCCTTATACCTACCTTCTAGCTTTTGCTAGCGTAGAGTACGCTGATGTTATCCAATTTATATGTGCCTATATGTATTTGTGTGTGTGTGTGTGTATGTGCGTGTATCATATCTACATTTGAAACTGTATGGAGTCTGTCTATAGCACATCACTGCCTAATGCACTCCATCTGTTAACGACTCTTGACACTGAAAAAGTTATTTCTAACGTCCTTGTGGCTCATTTGGGTACTCTGTTTCCACCTGTGTTCCCTTGTTCACGTACCACCCATGCTAAACAGTTTATCTTTATCTACCCTGTCAATTCCTCTGAGAATTTTGTTGGTAGTGATCATGTCTCCCAGAGCTCTCCTGTCTTCCAGTGTCGTGAGGTGCAGTTCACGCAGCCTTTCCTCGTAACTCATGCCTCTTAGTTCTGGGACTAGCCTAGTGGCATACCTCAGACCTTTTTCCAGCTTCGTCTTGTGCTTGACAAGATACGGGCTCCATGCTGGGGCCGCATACTCCAGGATTGGCCTTACATCTGTGGTATACAAGGTTCTGAATGATTCCTTACACAGGTTTCCGAAGGCAGTTCTGATGTTAGCCAGCCTCGCATACGCCGCAGATGTTAATCTCTTGAAGTAGGCTTCAGGAGACAGGTTTGGCGTGTGGTAGGGGGCGAGAGATGGAAGCTGCTTCCCGCCAAAATGCGCGCGCGCGCGCGTGTCCTTGAACCAGCGGTAAAAGCGTGAACCGTAATGTCATGCGATAAAAGGAGCACCTCACAGTTTTTGCACTGTCTCGTATCCCCATGTGTGGGGAAGACCCATTTCTTCCCCACGTGTGTCCTTGTCGCTCTGCTCTACAGTAGGGCATGTAGGCCTACATGGGTGGGAGGCGGGGTGGTGGAAGGAGAGAGGGGTGTGTAGGGAGGCGGGCCTGAGGCACGTTTGATGACTGCTCTCCCACAGGATGAGTGGACTTTGCGCGCCTCTTGCCAAATGGGGCAAAAAATAGTCACTCGGGCTAACGGACGGATGGGGGCGTCGGACGAATTAGGTGGTGGGGGGGGGGCTAAGCGTCGCCCCCCCCCCCCCACACACACACACACACATACACACACAGATATTTGAAAGAAATTTGTTAGTGTCAGAGTGGCTGACAGATGGAATGCATTAGGCAGTGATGTGGTGGAGGCTGACTCTATACACAGTTTCAAGTGTAGGTATGATAGAGCCCAATAGGCTCAGGAACCTGTACACCAGTTGATTGACAATTGAGAGGCAGGACCAAAGAGCCAAAGCTCAACCCCCTCAAGCACAATTAGGTGAGTAGGCGAGTACACAGGATTTATCCGAGTGCCGGAAGCCGAGATGTTATTTAGGTGAATCGTGGCCGGATGTTGTAATCGGCGCGTGAGAGGAGCACCTGCTGGTCAACAACAGTACTTGGTACCTAGTGACCGCCGCTGCTGCCGCTCCAGTACTTGGTACCTAGTGACCGCCGCCGCTGCCGCTCCAGTACTTGGTACCTAGTGACCGCCGCCGCTGCCGCTCCAGTACTTGGTACCTAGTGACCGCCGCCGCTGCCGCTCCAGTACTTGGTACCTAGTGACCGCCGCCGCTGCCGCTCCAGTACTTGGTACCGAGTGACCGCCGCCGCTGCTCGCTCTCTCACCCCACACCTCAACCCGTATGACACCTTGGCAACTACCGCTCCTAGTTATAATTATCATCATTAAATCGTAGTCGAGAAATAGCACCAAGTAGCTGAGTGTTGCTATGACCCGTAATATATTCAGACGTTTCACTTGTTTCACGTCCGGAACTCTCATCGTGGCGGCGTATATTTGAAGTTGTATATTTGAAGAGGTTGGTTAGGTGTGTGTGTGTGTGGGGGGGGGGCGGCCCACCAGGACCCCCTCTCCATCCCCCCCCTCCCCCCCTCTAGCACTAGGCCTAACGTACGCTGGAGCAAGTGATACTAACGGAACTAGTAGACACTATATGCAGATAAATTATTTATAATATACGTTTGTGGGTGGAGGGTTACCACTTTAGAACACGTGATGACTTGTGTGTTTACAGGTGAGTAGATATATTTGTATTTTATACAGGTGTTGGTGTTTATGTGGTGTTGTATTCCATGTGTTGTGATTCAAGTTCCAAAACTATTCATAAAGTTTACAAGTTTATACGGTCCGTGTTCCGCCTCCGCCGGGGAACGAACCCGGAACCTTAGTACTAGGAATCCCGAGCGCTGTCTACTCTGCCGTCAGGCCCCCTATTTTGCATATTCACAAAATTTACACCAAATGTAAATGTATTATTCATATACATAAAAAATGCCAAAATGATAGTACAAATCATTACAGTTACATAGTGTATAATAGAAGGAATGTGTAGCACTAAAGACATGACAGTAATGTGAAAGAGGACAAGCTTCGGGCGTGGACATGACTCCAGCACTAACGCCACACACATTTAACCAGGAGCAGCGTACGGGAAGCTGTACAATGTTAGAAAGATACTTGTACGTGTAAACCTAAGGGCTCAAGACAGTGTAAACATCCTATGGCAGACCACCACCACAGTAACAGTAACTAACTAGTATAGATATGATGGCGCTTAGTAGGCTCAGTCATCTGTACACCAGTTGATTGACGGTTGAGAGGCGGGACCAAAGAGGCAGAGTTCAACCCCCGCAAGCACAACTAGGTGATTACGTGGTCAGGAGGCGGGACCAAAGAGCCAGAGCTCAACCCCCGCAAGCACAACTAGGTGATTACGTGGCCAGGAGGCGGGACCAAAGAACTCGAGCTCAACCTCCGCAAGCACAACTAGGTGAGCACACACCACTACAAATCACAAAGTCGTAAATAAAACTAAGCCTGAAAATATGATCAACTTTACTATAAAAACTAGAACGTGATTTAATAGGTTTATGGAACTCGATCTGGCTTCTTTTTAGAAGAGAAGGACCAGCGGAATAGTGATCGCTACATACAGGATTATTAGGGGAATTGACAAACAGAATAATGACAGCCTCTTATAAGGAAAGGAAGCCACCTCCAGCCATAACTAAGAGACTAAGACTACAACCACCATTCCCCTGCAACCACCACAGCTACCACCACCACCTACAACATACAGGCAGCACATATATACAATATACATACAGCAAACATGCCTTATCTGTATTCCTCTATAATGTGTCGAAGCTCGGAAAATGTTAGGAATTTTCGTTTAACTTCATGGATACTTAGGCATACCCGTAGTCACGTGATTGTTGTGAGTATTCTTGAACCACAATCATCTATAATACCTGCTACAATATCAGCTACAATCATCTAGAACAGGGGTCTCCAAACTTTTCAATGTAAGGGCCACATTATATATTTCCCATATTTATGCAGGCCGGAGGAATAAAAAATGAAATTGCTATTTGTATAACTAAGATAAAGGCATTGTCAAAGTACAGAGAAAAGAATATTGTACAGTGTTTGTGCTCCCTGAAACGGAAGCAGCGAAGCCCCACTCGCCCTCCATCCCCACAATATACAGTTATACACAACTGATTGGTTGTAATGCACAACACATACCTACCAGTATTAGTATCTGTGCGTCACACAATCGAGAGAAAGGAAAACTGACTCGGGTTGAGCGCCACCAGTCAGCAGTCCCAGCTTTGAATAATTCTGCGATGCCATTCGTACGATAATTATTTTTTCAAGGCCACCACACAGGGATTTGTTTGGAGGGCCGGATGAAATTATGTGGCTGGCCGGATGTGGCCCGCGGGCCATAGTTTGGAGACCCCTGAATTCTAGAATATCCGTTACAACCATCTAGAGTATTCGTTACAATCACAACCATCTAGAATACTCTATACAACTACAACCGTCAATAATACTACAACTACCACTAATAAATAACCTTTGTCGTCTTTCAGAGGCAGCGAGGCTCTCAACGTGAGCTCTCAGTCTCCCTTCGTCAAGGACCGGCCTGTCCCCACCCTGGTAAGTTGTTGGCCTACTGTAGTCACCTAGTTGTATTCACTTAGTTGTATTCGCCTAGTTGTATTCGCCTAGTTGTATTCGCCTAGTTGTATTCACTTAGTTGTATTCACCTAGTTGTGCTTGCGGGGGTTGAGCTCTTCTCTTTCGGCCCGCCTCTCAACTGTCAATAAACTGTTACTAACTACTATTTTTTTTCCCCACACCACACACACATCCCAGGAAGCAGCCCGTGACAGCTGACTAACTCCCAGGTACCTATTTACTGCTAGGTAACAGGGGGCATAGAGTGAAAGAAACTCTGTCCATTGTTTCTTGCCGGCGCCCGGGATCGAACCTGGGACCACAGGATCACATATCCAGCGTGCTGTCCGCTCGGCCGGCCGGCCCCGTGCGTGTGTACTCACCTAGTTGTGTTTGCGGGGGTTGAGCTCTGGTTCTTTGGTCTCCTCCTTCTCTTTGGTCCCTGTGTGTGTGTGTGTGTGTGTATGTATGTGTGTGTGTATGTATGTGTGTGTGTGTGTGTGTGTGTGTGTGTGTGTGTGTGTGTGTGTGTGTGTGTGTGTGTGTGTGTGTTCTCTAATGTATAGACTCCAAACCTTTTTTTTTATCATAACTACTATGTATATCTTTCCTATTTTCATTTACGAGGTCTCCTACTAATTTTCACTCGAAATAGGCTGTTCATGCCCAATTACATGTTGCATAGACCACCTTAGTTCTCTTAGTAGTGGTAGATTGCTCTCTTACGTCTTCATAATTACTGCATTTGTAGCCGTCAGGTAATGTCATGCACAGGACTGAGGTAGTTAAGGGTATGTGGTGGCCTGCTAACTAGCGTATGGTAGAATTAGGGTATGGCAGGCTAACTATGGTAGAATTAGGGTATGGCAGGCTAACTATGGTAGAATTAGGGTATGGCAGGCTAACTACGGTAGAGCAAAGAGTGAGAAGCGAGAATGATTGTGTGGAGGTGGGTGTGTGTGTGTGTGGTATTGAGCCGAGGACGCTGTTAGGAAGAGGGAAGCACGCGTTTATGGATTTTATGCGTGTGGAAGTTGAAGGCGAACTACAGCAAGGTGGCAATTTATTTCCTGAACTAGGCACAATTCATTGGTTGACGGAGAGCACTTGGCTACGGACATCCGGCAAGTAATTCCGCTCCAATTGAAAATTGGATGCTTTAATATGACTCATGGGAAGCAGTAAGGGGAATGGTCAAGTTGTTCGTAACACCGTATGACAAAGCTCGTTTTCAGATTGTCAAAACCGTATACTGTATGTATGTATATATATGTATGTATATCTTCTTATGGTGAGAGGGTTAGGTGACATATGGATGCATGACATTACGTGAGGGGGATATTAATACGGTATTAAATGTATCAACATAGTGTGACATGCTGGCAGTTTGTTCTGATTGCTTACGTTCCTGTTGTGGGGTCATTCGGTCCAGCCAGTGTGTGTGCCCGGGGTCTGGAAGTGGGTAGTGTAACTGTGTACTAACTAGCTGTTATTGATTCCTCGTCTAGATTTCATGAGATGCAGCGTTTCACTGATGACTAATCTTCTATTGTCATTGTATCTATCAATAATTTCGGTGTTGCTCGTCAAAATATCCCTGGTGATCGTCTGATTGTGTGTGGCGATTATATGTTCCTTCATGGGGCCCGTTGTTTGTGCTTTGTTAATCGCCTAATCGCATTGTTAAACGTACAACCTAAGAACAATAGGTGTGTGTGTGTGTGTACTCACCTAATTGTGCTTGCGGGGGTTGAGCTTTGGCTCTTTGGTCCCGCCTCTCAACTGTCAATCAACTGGTGTACAGATTCCTGAGCCTACTGGGCTCTATCATATCTACATTTGAAACTGTGTATGGAGTCAGCCTACACCACATCACTTCCTAGTGCATTCCATTTATTAATTAACTACTCCGACACTGAAAAAATTCTTTCCAACGTCTCTGTGGCTCATCTGGATACTAAGTTTCCACCTGTGTCCCCTTGTTCGTGTGTGTGTGTGTGTGTGTATATATATATATATATATATATATATATATATATATATATATATATATATATATATATATATATATATATATATATATATATATTATATATATAAATAATATAATATAATATATAATATATATATCCATCCTAATTGCATTGTTAAGCGCGATGAAACGCAATGTTGTGTGTGTGTCGTTAGGGAAGTGTGAGTGTGAAAGGAAGGTGGAGGGCAGCTGGGTCCACTCGGGTGGTCGTGACAGGGAAGGATACAAAAACCATGTGTCTGCGGTATGGTCCGTGAGCTAGGGAATACAAAGAGAAATTCATATTAGTATTTCTTTTCCAAAACATATCTAATTCTAATTACTTTCATAATTGTCCGTATCGTGTTGATGGGTTTGGTGGTGTTGTTGCGCCTTGAAGGACGATAACAAGAGGTTTACTTTCAGGGTCTGCTGCCATGGAAACAACGCCACCCATATGTCCACGGGGTTAAGAGCAGCAGGTTTGGCAGCCCGGGCTATCCCTCACCCCTCGACAGGTTCAGGTCAGTTACCTGCAATTATGTTGCTCCAGGGTTTTGCTGATGTTATATCAGTAGGTTTCTGGAAGAGGGCTGTTGGTCGTGTTAGCCTGTTTAAGAGGAAGGAAGGAACTATGGGGGAAAGCTCGATTGATTGATTGATGAAGATTAAGCCACCCAAAAGGTGGCACGGGCATGAATAGCCCGTAAGTGGTGGCCCTTTGTTGCCATTACCAGTATCAATAGCCGATACTGGAGATCTGTGGAGGTGCGACTGCACCCTGCGTGACGGGAGATGTCTCCCGTGGGGGAAAGCTCCAAGCCATTATGACTATATAGCACTGGGAAGGGGTCAGGATAAGGATTTGGGATGGAACGAAGGGTGCCCATGGTGCCCAACCACTTGGTCGGTCGGGGATTAAACGCCGACTTGAATGCAGTGAGACCGTCGTAATCGAAATCCTCAGATTAGGCAAAATTGTAATTAATTTTGTCAATAAAGATGTTAATAATAATAAAAGTTGTTCTACCGTCCAGCTCAGGTCGTTGACTCTGTCTAAGAGGAGTCGCTTTGTTTTCTCGTTTCCTCTCCTAACTCCTCTCCCTCTCCTCTCTCGCCTCCCTTTTTTTTTTTTACCTCACCTCCCTCTCATCTCTCGCCTCACTCTCCTCCCTATCATCTCTCGCCTCACTCTCCTCCCTATCATCTCTCGCCTCACTCTCCTCCCTATCATCTCTCGCCTCACTCTCCTCCCTCTCATCTCTCACCTCACTCTCTTCCCTCTCCTCCTTCGCCTCCCTCGCCTCACTCTCCTCCTTCTCATCTTTCACTTCACTCTCCTCCCTCTCATCTCTTGCCTTGCCCCTCTCTCGCCCCTCTTGCTCCTCTCATCTCTTGCCTTGCCCCTCTCTCGCCTCTCTTGCTCCTCTCTTGCTCGCCTCTTGCTCGCCTCTCACCTCTCTTGCTCCTCTCTCTCGCCCCTCCTCTCGCCCCTCCTCTCACCCCTCTCTTGCCCCTCCTCTCACCCCTCTCTTGCTTCTCTCTTGCCTCTCTCTCGCCCCTCTCTCTCACCTCTCTTGCCCCTCTCATCTCTCTCATCTGTCTCGTTTTTTCTTTATCTGACCTCTTTTTAATGCTTTGGTCTTTTCTCAGGTGACAACCTCATCTTGGTACAGTATATTTGTTACATTGCAGTCATCATATGTTCTCACTTATTTTATTGGTTTCTTCTTTCAAAATAAATAATAAATATGTAAACATTAAAAAAATTAAAACAAAATCCATTTACTATACTGTACTAATTTGAATTTACAGACTTTCAAGTTACTGCACAGTAATTAAATTTTGATATTGACATTAGTTGAATTGATATTTTGATGAAGAGTTTCACCTTAATTTTATTTATTTTTCTTGTAGAATTTATGAAATAACATAAAATAATAAGTATGGGGCAACTGAGAAAATCTCTCAAAATGGTCTGTCTTAATATTTAACAAAATATTTTTGAGTGATGTGCCACATGCTCCAAAAAAATGGAATTACTTATTTTTCATGTATTATAAGTTGATAAGATTTATCATTTTATTGGGCGTTCTCATAGTAACCAGAAGTCTGAATACCTAGCAAAAAAAAAAGTATCGCAAAGTTTTTATGAAAAGCACAATCACAGAATACTGTATATACATCAGAGGTCCGCGGTTGTTCAACATCTTCCAGCAAGTACAAGAAATATTGCCGGAACAACCGTGGACATCTTGAAGAGAAAACTAGATATTTTCTTCAAGGAGTGCTGGACCAACCATTCTGTGGCGAGTATGTGGAGCTGCTGGCCGCTCCAAGCAACAGCCTGATGGACCAAACTCTCACAAGTTTGGGGAGTAGAAAAACTCTCAGAACCCCCATTAAGCAGGTATCACGCAGGTAAAGCAGGATATAGGTAGTCGGTTGGAAAGGTTCTGCAGAATCTATGCAGAGAGCTACCAACAACTTGATAGAGATGTAAATGAATAGTACCATTGGAAGTACTTGTTATGTTATATTGCTCCTTCCACAGAAACACACGAGACTCGCCACTTGGCAGCAATGCCAGCTTCTCACACATGCCCCGCTCCACCACAGTCGAGTCCAGGCTGCAGCATGCAACCTCAGCCCCTCGCCTGAATGTTATGCCAGGTATGTTATTGTGCACGTACCCTCTACTGGACTGTAGTAGCTTTTGTTTACAACTTAAGCTATACAGTATTGTACAGGCTGTTTCATTATCAGTTTGCCTGGCAATTTTTAGCATAATTTTCAAGAAATAACTGACCTAACATACAGTAGTTCAAATACTGTACCAAAAGAGTAAAATAAAAGCTAAGTTTTCATCAGCTGAAAATATTCTGATACATAGACAATATTGTATTCAATGGGGTGAGAAATAATTATGAAAATTTTTAAAATGTGCACTGTAGCCGATATCAGTTTTGAACAAAGTTTCAACAACAAATAATTCAATTTGAATTTGATGTTTTATTTACATGTACAAAAGTCATGTACATTATGTACATGACTTTTGTACTGGGAGTTATGCTAAATACTTGAATCTATAGGCCTATATAAATTTCTTAAAACTTTGATTTTTAATGGTATTTTAATATTTGAATCGCACCTCAGGAACAATTTAAGTACAGTATTGCTAAAATTTATTAGGAGTATTACAGTACTGTATTATGTCTTAATTAGAAACACTCATAAAATTGCTTAATACTTAATGTTACAAGTGACTTGTTTATTGAATAATTAAAACATTTATGAGAAGTTAGTTTTGAAGCTTTTCTGGAGAAGTCACATAAATTGTAGTTTGGCATCAGTATTTATAGTTTGTTGTATAAATAATTTTTCACTTAATTTTCAAACTACTGTACTGAACAGTAGTTTGATTTACTGACAAGGGCAAGGTTGTTCTGAACCCTGCTTGCTACTACAGTACATTATAGCTAAGTTGACTAATGTTTGTCAACTAAGTGATATAGCAATTTGTTTTCTTGTCAATTTGACCAAGAAATAGAACGTTCAAATCTATTTTCAGATAAGTTTATTTTCAAAGTTTATTGGGCAAGTTATCCTTTTTTAATTCAGTAACATCCTCCGTCCTTCCCTCCCACACCCACACACATTTTATAATTAATGCTGTCTATTAGATGGACTACTGTAATCATGTATTTTGACTTGCAGTTAATTTGGTTGTAAGTATCCTGAGAGGTTCATGTTAGCAAACACTGGACCAACCTGTGATGTCATTTTAGTGAGTGCATGCCATTTATATTCAGCCATAACAGCAAATTCACATTTATTTGATTCATTTTGCTATGGTTTTCCTGTATTTCAGATATGACAAATAGCAATGTAGTGCTGTCCAGTTTTAAACTGTATGTGAAGTTTTGTAAAAATATGTTCAGTTATTGTAGCAGAGAGAGAGAGTGGGTGCTAGTAGAAGTATTAATAGCTGTACACAGGGGGGGGGACACTGTGTAGTAGCAAAGATAAAGATAAGGATAAGATAAGAGGATAATGTACAATAATTACATAGTAGCATAGAGTACAAGTGAAGGACTCTTGGAGTAACTGAATATGGGTGAGAGGGAGAAAGTAGAGTGGGAAGAGATTGGCATCTCTGCAGGCTGCAAAGATGTTGATCCTCAGAACCATCGTAAAGTATGCCTCTTGTCGTCATCTTCCACCACCTATTCCTCCTCCAGCATTCTTCTCCAGTAATTCCTCCAGCAGTAAATAAATCTCCAACCCATCAAACCTGACCACCACCCTCTCTATATCTGTATCATAATCTTTATCTCAACAACCCGCCTGGACGCCTGACAGCTGGGTAAACAGCGCTTCGGATTCGTAATCGTGAGGTTCCGGGTTCGATCCCCTGTGGAGGCGGAGACAAATGGGCAAAATGTTTTTCACCCTGATGCCCCTGTTACCTAGCAGTAAATAGGTACCTGGGAGTTAGACAGCTGCTACAGGCTGCTTCCTGGGGGTGAAGGCCTGGTTGAGGACCGGGCCGGGGGGGGGACACCAAGTCCCGAAATCATCTCAAGATAGCCTCAAGAGAACCCTCCCAACCCCATCTTTCCTTCAAACATAAGAAGGCACCTAAATAATGACATTTATACAGCATATGTTAGACCAGTACTAAATTATGCAGCACCAGCAGCTAATCAACACTTCTTGTAGGAAAAACATAAAAGTCCAGTACAGTGTACTGATTCCATGCTTATGCTGGATATTTAGGAACGGTCTAACATGGGCTATATTAAATGTTTTGTACAAGTTATTGTTTACATTCCAAACTATTGTCTTAAGTTTGACAGCTTCCAATATGTACAAGGGAAGTTCCTTTTCAGTATGCTAATACATGACTTGATTTCGCAGGCAATGGTCTCTACAGCTTCAGCTTCTCTCCGGGGCTGTCCAAGGGGTCATTTGGCACCTCTGAAAACATCCCCTGTGGCCATTGGTTATTCCGTAACTTTGTGGGTGGTGGGAACTGTGGAGTTGTTTTCCCAACAACCATCGTCAATCCAAACAAAGCTGTCCTTACTCTTGATTCCTCCTCAAGGGTAGGTATAAAAGGAAAGAGCCTGCCATTGTGAGTGTTGTTTATGATATCAGCTAAGCATCTTTTCAGCTGGATGTTTTCTTACCTTTATTTTTTTAATTCCTTCAAAATTAACTGCTTGTTTGCAGCATTGTATATTTTGGAAATTATTAGTTTTGTGCTACAGTTCAAAATTTATGCCATTACCTTTTGGAGTGGGATAGCATCATCCCGGCAAAAATGGAAGGAGCAGCACCCTTGCCTGCGTAACATCCCATGGGTTACTAATGTCAAGTGTTTTCCTTCAGCCATGCATAATGAATGCCTTTTGCTAAAAAAAAAAAAAAAACTCCATCAAAACTCATGAGTAATTGTGAAGTTTCTGGAGTGAACCAAGATTGATTCCCCAAGGAAAAACTAAATCTTCAAGTTTTATTGCTTATTCATGTGCCACAAGTGATGCTAATTCTTTGCAAGGACTGAATGTTGTCTTTTTGTACTTCATGCTTATTGCCTGCTGAAACAGGATCGTGACTCAGGTAATGTATCTTCACGAGTAATTCCTCCACACTGTTCGGCAGTATTGGGAGGGCTGCCTTTAACATTACAAACAAAGCACTTGGGATACATGTCTCAACATATATTTAAAGCTTTCATGATAAACCTTACTCAAGTGCTTCAGGTGTAATGGGTGAGGGAGCTATTTAAAACTAGTTACATAAAATTAGATTCAATTACAGCACCATGAACGTGTTTGAGAACTAATTGCACTAATGCTGTGCTTCTTATCCCAGAACAACATGAATCCAGTATATTGTAGCCCTGTACTTCTCTGTTTGTGTTTATTTTGTTTTAACCTATAATGCCCTAAAGGTGAGCCTCGAGCAATTCGTGTTCTGTTTTGTTAGTAACTATATTTTGTAGCATATAATTGGAACTTGACACTTGTAGCTGCTTTTGTGAAGGTTTTATGGCTTTCACATACATACATACAGTGTACATACATTCATACATACATGCATACATTTTTTGGAACCAAAGAGCCAGAGCTCAAGCACAACTAGGTGAGTACACACACATGGTGCATTCCAATTAAAACAGTCATACATGTATTTTTAGCACATCTCTTGGCCTTTGTAAATGCACATTAATGACACTATATAAAAGACACATCGAACACTTTATGTAGGGCATACGTAAATCTGTGTATCTATGTACTTACGTATGTAGGTTAGCTTAGCATTTTAAAAGCACCGAATCACCTTCTGTGGTCAATTGTTCAATTAACCCCTGAACTATATGTTTAACACATCTCTAACCCTGTCCATGGAGGACAGAAGAAAATGTATATATGCTGGTTAGCATTGTAAATGTGTGGCCATGTCTGTGGTAGAAAATAATAATAAAAAAAAAGCACATCTCTTAAATTAAAGTACAGTATTTTACGTAGCAAAATCTAAAAATATCCCACAAATTTGTCTGATTATGTTTTCTTATTAATATCCAAAACTTCCAATACCCAGACAACCGAAGGTACCAGTTAATCCAAATACTGTATTGTGCATATTCAGTATTCTCACATATATGAATGGGAAATGTTCACAATAAAGGAGATTTAGATAATACAGTACTGTATTTATAAATGTTGTAGTGTACAGTAATTATTTTCCCAACAAAATATTGATCTGCTTGAAGAGGCAGAGTGAAGACCTAAGAATGCGGTGACCATGAGTGCCTTCTAAGGTTAATACATTACTATAATGTATAGTGAACTCCCAAGTAGCTGGAGCCAAATTATCTGATTTCTAGATGGAATAGATGACATCTGAGCTCATTATGGTCTCTGGTTTATTCTAATGCTAATCCAAGAGCATAGAATTATACTAAACTGTATTTGCACCAGCAATAAACTTAAAACATTGGAAGACTGCAATAAAAATTACTAATTATTAAGCAATATATAAATAATTGTTGTGAGAAATACATTGTTCACCTGCCATATAGTACATTACTATCAAATTTCAGTACATGTAGTATTTAGTATTAATATAATTAAGTGGAAAATAAAGTTATTCAAGCAAAAATGTTGTCAATCTTATTTTTTGTTTGTATATACTGTATTAAAGATTTATTATTAATTTTATTTGAACTACAGTATAACGTGTATAAGAGTGTCTCTATCCTGTAAACAAAAAACAAAAAATATGAAACAATTGTGGCCTCCAAACATGACTGTTCGTGTTCAGCTGCAGTTCATCTAGATAATTGGAAATCAATTGCATTACCTTTTTCTAATGATGCTTTTAGTATTACTTGCACAAATACTGTACCTTCTTTCAGAGCACCTACATTCTAGGGCTAATCATCTCCTGCATTCTCTGTCCTAGACTATATTTGCCATCTTCTTGACGGAGAATGCGACACAAAAAAATTTCTTTTTGTATAGTACCTGTCATTTTCTTTTTTAGTGTTACTAGCAGGTCATGTGCACCTGTCATGTGCACGCCTAGATGGAGTACTACTCCCATCTGCAGGCTGGGTGTGGTAGGGTTGTATTAATTAGCCTAGCATTTCCCAAAGCAAAGATATTAGTTGACTAGAAAGTTAGAGATAACCTGGTCTCTGCATGCACCATGATGCATCTTCACTCTTTGCACCTATTGTATGACAGATGCTTAGTACTATTGTTTCCTCCCTCCCACTCATATTGTAAGTCCTCCTGAGGTCCTAGGAGTGTACATAGCTTTGCTGCATGATCACGATATTAGAGGAAAACAGCAAGAGCTATTAATAAAAATGTTAAACAATGAGAGTGAAATGTGAATATCAAGGTGGGAGAGGATTTTTTGTGAGTGGACAGTTTTGGAGGCATGTGGAGCAACTTTGTGATGTGTGCTCTAAAGGTTTAGTAGTGTAGAAATAATGAACTGTATAGATTATAAATTTATTTGGCAAATATTAGAATGTTGTTTGAAGTGTAGGCACCCAAGGAAGCATTTTGAAAATTATTGTTAAATTGAGAAAACACAAATGATTTTAGAGTAATTTGAAATACTGTGTGCAAATGTGTCAATCAAAATATTGATTAGAAAAGAACAAGAAGGTACAGTAGTTATATTTAATATCTATATATTCCCAAAAAAGTGATGTACAATATAATGTATAAAAAGAAAAAGTAAACTTGGGTATTCAAAATATATTCATAAAGACTCGTGTGTTCAACACAAAATAGTTTTATAAAGAGGTGGTACAGTTTTTCTGATGGATCATCTGCAGAAACAAAGTGATATTAAAGATTTGTTTTACCCCATTCCATCGCAGGTTGACCTGGACTTTTACTTCCTTTGTTATTTATATTATTATTCAGAACAAAAGCACAGTAGCGTGAATTATCAATGAGAAAATGAGTAAGAGCAGTAAAGGGATTTGAACCAGTGTCCTGGTGAATACCAGACTCGTGCCTTTATTATAATTTTAATTATTATTATTTGTATTGCTAACATTATTATATGCCTCATTATCCACACTATTCCACTTCACTTTAAAAGTGTAAGTAACCCATTTTATCTCGCAGCTTTTTCTTTCTGAAAGGGCACTTTTGATCATTTTTCTTACAAATTTGCATGTGAATGATGAATGTTACAGGTTATGATCTGTGATTGGTCTTCTTCATACTCTACTAAGTTTATTGTTCCGTAATAAATGAGCGTCTTCTTATTTGACCTCTTTTGTTTCAGATCTTGACAGCAAATGATATGTCATCATTGCTTCTTGGTCACTCAGAGGACGAATTGTGTGGTAAAATGAAATTGACGGACTTCATTGCAAATCCCAGCACTAAACAGAAGCTTGGTTCGCTTGCCAGTCCATGTCCCCCTGCAGAAACAGACAGCACGGAGACTTCCATTCATACCTTGCCTGACCCTGACATACTAGATAATCAAGGGATGGTGCTCTTCAGTGGTAAAGTGGTAAGTGGATATCTTCTGCACAACTGGCATTCCCCATCTTGTGTTTTATTTTTATTTATTTTTCTAAATTTTTTCTTGTGTACTGTATATTCCTAATGTATAAAAGCTATCAAGAAATAATGGTAAAGATAGGATTAGAGTTTAAAACTTATCAAGCTACTGAAAAATTTGGTAAGATACAAGAAAGGTTTTTATTTTACTGTAATATTTATGGTGTAAGGGGCTTAAACTTTTAGTTATTTGTTATCTTGGGAAACATGTACAAACATAAGGTATCCCAGAGAATATTTTCTTGATTGTCAATGTTAGTTTTAGTTTGATTTGTGTGTTTTCTAGCTAACAAACAAGATTGTTGGTCAGAAATGTGTATGCTGTGTCTTGAAGCATTGGGCTTCTATCTTTAGTATGAATGCTGGAGTGTGGTGGTGCATGTGGTTTTCAATTATCAAGAACAGAAAAAGTCATTAGACCTTACGATATACACTAGACCAACTACTGACCTTCCCCAGGATGCAGCCCACAACAATTGGCTGACTCCCAGGTGCTTATTTACTGTTAATTGAACAAACACATCAGGTGAAAGGAAATATTCCCAAACATTTCTGTCCTGTCATGGAAAACGAACTGAAAACCTTTGAGCTGTGAACTGACTGTGTGACAAGTCCCATAATGTGAATAGTGTAATAGAAAAGTTATATTTTGTATTGTTTATTTTGAATTACATTTCAATATACAGTATTTACTTTCATTTTTTTTTACCTCTGGGCTGAAAGCTCCCAACCTCTTTAAAGATAGTAATGAATTTACTATAAATGTTTATAGCTTTCTAGTTTAAGTAGTATAAAGTTGCCTGTGAAGTTAGATAGTGTATAACTGTAATGTTTTTCTCCAAAGGTTAATGTTGACACCTTCGACAATGGCACGCTTCCCTGTTCACTCTGGCTGAAAGGTCTTCCACATGAGGAAGATGAAGATCAGAGGTGGATTGCAATTTTGGAGCCAGTGGATATAACTGTAGCTAAGGTAGGAATCATTGCAGTAAACTTGACAATTAGGTATTTCCAGTATAAATAATTTATGGTTTTCTCATATTCATTTCTGTTCTTTCACTGCCCATTTATGCAGTATTTCATATGCCTCATCATATCAGCTTGAAAATGTTAATAATTTAGGGGTACAAAGTATTGCAACTTTTGAAATTTACCATTGTAGTTACATGGCATGTCGATTGTGCACAATCGACTTGAGGATGGTCCAGGACGGACCGAAACGTTGCCGTCCCTTCACTTTCTAGCGTGTAGTCTGGTCAACATTCTTCAGCCACGTTATTGTGACTCATCGCCTGCAAATTTGAAATTATGCAAACATTCAGTACTGGGGATTGGGTTGGTGGGTGAATAACTTAATATCATAGAGTAGGTTCTTTTATTGTAAAGTAAAACTGGAATTATTTTATTTTTCCTTTGAAAAAGAATTAATAGTTGTGTATTAGCTGCTGCAACATCTGGCTCACTGGTACAGATCTCCAGGAAACAAGGTGTCGGCTATAGGAAGTTCACATAGATACGAGGTTTGGGGGTGGGAATATGTACTAGAATATTTTAGTAGCATTTTAAAATTATTTTAGTATTGTAGAATTATGTTTGAAAAATCCTGTCATTATTGCAACAGCAAGTATAACATTGACAGTTACAAAATATTCTGCGTTTGTATTATGCTGATTATGATTATTTACTTTTTAGGCTTCGGTAGACGTGACTGGTCGCATTCTTAAGCATGATTCTTCCTTTAGTACATTATTTGGGTATGCAGAAAATGATGAACTCAACAAATTTAATGTTCGAGAACTCATTCCAGCACTGGAGGTGCCCAAATCTCCTCGGGAAATAACAAAGGTATATTGAATACTGTTTTACTATTTTCTGTTATTCTCCAGATTTCTCCTATGAAGTTAATTAATATACTAAATGTAATTATTAGATCGATAAGTGTTTCAGCCATTTTCTTGTGTATATACTATATATATTTTGTCACTTTTTTAACTAAAAATTGTCATAATTTAAAGTATTCATCACCATGCTTTTTCTGTTAAAATGGAATTTACATTCTTTGGAAATATTTGTCAGTAATGAAATTGTGTACAGCCAGTATTGTTATCAGTAGCAGTGACTCTTGACTAACTATTTGAATTTAAGCTAATGCTGAAAATGTCTTAAACTGTATCTGTATTTGTTTATCTTTGCTTCCACACCCAGGATATTGAGAAGCAACAGTGTACAGGACAGACGGTTGACTGTGCAACATTCCCTCTGTGTGCACACTTCTCTTATAATAAGGCACAGACTGATGAAGTTGTAAAGAAAATAATTTTTGATCTTGAAATTTGGGTAAGGCATATATTGTTTTCCCCACTTTCATTTGCATGAATTCATCCTGTTATTAAACATTTGCATTTTTTTTTCTAGTGAAAATACGGTGCTGGGTAACCTACTTGTAATTGGTTCCAATACCTGCTCTAAGGTTTTAATCTCGATGAAACAAAAAAATTCTCAAATACCAACCTTAGTGTGTACAGATTTTTTCTATAAAATACCTTCCATATGAATTGTGAATTTTACAAATATTAGAGCTGTGACTAGTGAGAGTCCACTGTATATCCTGTTATTTTGCTTGTAAATATTGAAACAAATTTAGAATATGATGTCTTTTTTTTTCTAGGTTTTCTCAAACATCAGTGGCTTAGTGATGCTGGATGATTCTGGCAAGATTATTGATTATAATTATAATTTCACAAGACTTTTGTTTGGGTATGGCAAGAACGAACTCGAAGGAAAGGTAAGCGGCAATATTCACCTTAAGATAAGTAAATGTAATATTTTTTTGTGTTTAGTGAATATTTCATGTACAGTATGTGTGTATTTTATAAAAAAAAAACAATTAATAGTTTAAATTGCTACCATTTCAGGACATCACCAGTCTCATACCAACTTTTGTTGATGATGTCGCCTTAATTCGGAAACTGAACAGTCCGTCCTTTGACTCTGACTCGGATTCGACCATCAGTGATAATGAAGAGGAGAACCAAAAGGAAAATAGCAAAGTAATGTGTAAAGAGCTTGGTTATGTAAGCTCTACAGTACAGTGTTTAGTGTTGTCACTCTATTGTTAGCTTAATAATGAGCATTAGCCATAGTCTTCAAAAATGGTTGCTAAATAAATTTTTACTTTATCACGTTCATTTTTTATGTATTTAGTTTTTAACTTCGTCTTGTAGCTCATACATAATAATAAACTTAATTTTTGTTGGAATTGTATCTCTTGCCTGCAGAGTGTCGGTGTTAACAATTCCCAGGTGAAGAAGAGTCTGCCAGACAAGGATGTGACCATTTTTATTTCTGAGCCTTCTTCCATAACAACACCTGACCGCAGCAATGTTACTACAGACAGGTGAGGCTTGTTTTAGTCCTAGTAAAACCCAGTTTTGTCAGCCCTGTTATTTTTTTTTTTTCTATTTTCTTCTCTCCCTGCAATGGAATCTAGCTTAAATGTACCGTATTTGCCGGCGTCTAAGACGCACCATCACATGGGATGCACCCCTATTTTATAAGGATATTTTGTGGGAAAAAAACAATTTTAGTATGTTTCATCTTGCATTCATCGAAAGTGATTTTAAAGTAGTTCTTGTACCTCAACTCTTAGTCCCTCTAAGATCAGCTGTATAGTTGTTTATATTTTGGGCAAAAGGTATTGCTATACAGGATATGAAACTTGTATTTCTGGATGTGATGTTTTGTTACCTCGACAAGCCACCAGGGTGGCACACCTGGTGGTGGCGCATCATTATCCCTTCACAGATTTCACTGCTCCTGTTATGCAGCATGTATGTAGTCAGATCTAGTCACAGTCGCAAGCACAATTAGGTGAGTACAGGTATGGTAGCAGTCAGTCACAGTTTGTAAACAACATGAGTCTGTTGTTTACAGAACACCAAGGCCACCATCTGCATTAATCTCATACAAATCGTCTAGACACAGCTTGAGGGGTGGGGAATATTTATGGGAGGGGCTGGTGTGGAGATGGGGGGGGGGGGGGGGGGGGGGGGGAGGAAGGTTAGGATGTAGCTGGGATGTGGGAGCTGAGGGGTGAATCAGGACTGACCACAGCCAGTCTGCCTGCTACCCTGCCGGTCAAACCTTGCCTGCCTGAACCAAGACCCGAGCCTGCCCACCCATCCACCCTGCCAGTCAGCCACCGATCGACCCACCCACCTCATCCTGCCCTCCCATCTGCTAACTGCCTTCCTGCTCAAGGTTAGCCACCTCTATGCCTGCCCACACACCCTGCCTGCCTGCCCGCCTACCCACCCTGCCTGCCTGCCCACCTACCCACCCACCCACCTGCCAGTCGGCAACCACTCAATCCACACGCCCTGCCCACCCACTAGCCATCCAGCCAGCCATTCATTCATTCATCCATCCATCCATCCATCCATCATACCTGAAGAGGATTTAGTAACACAATTTAATATCACTTGTTTTCAATATTTTATTATTAGCAACGATTTTTTTGCCTAGCAAACTTACCCAGTATGCTCATCTGGCTCCCTAGCCTATGGTGCTCAGTCTAACATCCATAATGTGGCCGCATTAGACTCTGGTAAATTATTTTTAGACATTTAAAAATAAAAATAAAAGCGCATCTTATACACCAGGAAATACGGTAACCTTAATAACTGGATTTCCAAATGCAGTTGAACAATATGCCTCCGGCAATGAAAATACTGTAGACAGGTTGAATTGCACCAGAAAGAAAAAAGGTAGTGTTGGTCAAGCAGAACTAAATGAAGACCATTGCTTTACAAGATCTTTATTAACAAAAATGAACAATTCGTATGGTAATGAAAATCATTGTATAAGGTATATTAATGACTTTCCTGAGCTAAGACCCCCCTCCCCCTCTTGAATACTTCAGCAGTACTCACAGGTTATTTGAGAGCCTCCAGGCTCTCAATTTGTATCTTCATCATGATGGAGGTCGTTATTATTGGTGTAACAAGTTGGGAAGACATTGGCTAGTCTAACTCAAGCCACCTCTGAGAGCATCTGCTTACTATAATATAGGGGAATAACCATCAACCCTCAACACCCACCCCCTGTAAGCAAATGGTAGAAGTTATGCAAAGACCCGTTGTTGTTTCAGCAAACTTACCGCTGGATTAAAGCTACACTTGCTGCTGCTAAGCTTTGTTATGGTTGGGTTTATTTGCTTGAAGTTGGTTCCTCAGTGCAGGGGTGTTGCTTGGTTTTAACATTTGCATCATGGTGTGATGTATCAGTCATTGTGTGACACTCATTATATCTATCTGCTGCAACACTAAATGGTTTTCCTTCCAAAGAAAATCCCTTGGATATATTTTCTCAAGCTGTTTGCCATTACCATTTTTTTTCCGAAGACATTGTCATGTCTTCTCAAATTTATACCACTCCCTTTTTAGTTCCTTCAAATTTGTCCCCAGTCCTAGACCTTGGTTCTGGGCTCCCATACACTAAGAATTACACTTTCTTTCATAATCTTCACTTTCTGTGAATGTTTGGCTTCTCTGCCTTTTCTTGAGTTATCTTGAGATGATTTCGGAGCTTTTAGTGTCCCCGCGGCCCGGTCCTCGACCAGACCTCCACCCCCAGGAAGCAGCCCGTGACAGCTGACTAACTCTCAGGTACCTATTTTACTGCTAGGTAACAGGGGCATAGGGTGAAAGAAACTCTGCCCATTGTTTCTCTCCGGCGCCCGGGATCGAACCCGGGACCACAGGATCACAAGTCCATTGTGCTCTGCTCGGCCGACCGGCTCCCGACCAGCCTTACTAAGTTTGTTTGATTCGTAGGTGCCTTAGCGGTTTTTCATCCCTTGTGTATGAGGTTTATTTAGTGTACACTAGTCAGGTTACAGTTTTGTTGGCTAAGGAAATTTTGATTTCCTGATAGAGATAAGTATTGAATCCACAGTGAGGGGAATCTTGTCCCTCTGTGAAAATTAGATTAAATTATATTTTGGTTTGATAATAGATTGGATCAATCTCTCCAACAAAGGCATATAAATAGCTAATGAGTTTTAATCTCAACAACACAAATTAAGCTTTGGGAGAAGGGAGATGGAACCAGGTGGATAAATGTATAAATATATATAAAATTAACTATGATATAGTACATGTGTATATGCATATATACTTGTAGTGTATATGTAGATATATACACATGTATATCCATGACGCACTAAATGTGTATAGAGCGAGTGATGTAGGCGGGAGGTGAGGGTGATTTATATTTTTAAGATTTTCATTATACTGTACAGTATTGTGATAGAGCATGTGCTGCCATACAGAGCTGGGGTTTTTGTGTCCACTGTAATAAAAACGTCTAGATTAATTTTGTCTTTATCTTTGCATCCTTTTCAGTAAGCTCCAGGGTTCCCTCTATACCACAACACTCAACACATTCAATTCAACAGGAAATAGTACAGGCAATGCTGAGAACAGTCAGAATATTATACAGACAGGCAAGGCAATGAGGGATATTACAAACTCGATGAATGTTCTCAACGTTAGTCAACAGGTATGTATTGAATAATATAATATTTTCAGAAATATCCATCTTCCTCCATCACCACTCGGACGTTTGTAGCCATGGTAATACTGTATTTGGTCTTCTACATAGAGCCTTAATCATGTCCAGTTCAATCAGTTGGTTTTTTACTTACTCTTACTTTGATCTTGGAGAGTTCATGGAACCTTCTATTTAACTTCTTGCCACTGTGAGATCATTTCCATCTCGTCTTTGTCTGATGACATGCTGCTACTCTGTTTTATTTTTTGTATAGTTTCTAAACTGTCAATTTCAAGGTGCCTCCATTCCTCTCTTGACCATAAGTGTTGTATATTATATTTTTGGGCCCCTTAGACCTATTCTGTTTGTCTCTGTGCACCACTGCCTCGACTGTTTCTGTGTCTTCTTATTTCTGTTTCCTTGGAATGTCTTATGAATCTTGGTTAATTTTTTGTACCTTGTCTTCAGCTTCATTAAGTAGTTTATTACTATCTGTAGTTTGCCTCTTATTTTGTGGGTTACATAAAAATCTTATTTAGTGTACATTTTTTGGAAGCTGATGTTTTTATAGATACATTTTGTGATGAAATATATACATAATGTAATTAATAAATACTGTAGTAGACTTTGTGCTCTATGTCTTGGAGGCTATACAGGTATCCTGTTATGATACTGGAATTAATGTGGCTTAAGTGAAGAGAGCTCTACACAAATTTCAACTGGAGGCGATATTTAGTGCATCATTAGTCATCAAAATAAGCACTAATTGGATTAGTGCTTATTTTGTAGTAGTTATTAAAGTTTCAACAGAACTCGTACTGATGAGCAAGTTCATACTGTCAATTTGGTAACTTATAATTTAACTTGCAGGCTAACACAAACCAATCGAGCTCTCCAAGCATACACTCAAGTCCAAGTAAGCTGAGGCCAAGTCATGATCATAGCAATACTTCCAATGCAAGTTTTCCCAAGGTAAGAAGGAAATTAGGTACTTCAAATTACATTATGGTAATATTATAATGAATTTCAAGAACATAATTTTCTGATATTTAATATTTGTCGCTTTATGCAGTTTTTGTTACTGTGTTCTGACTTATCTTTAATCTTCACGTACCGCTCAACAATCTCACGTTGATCGTGAGATTGTTTATCATTAACGATCGTTGATATTCAGGCTCATCTTGCTAACATCTTCAATGTTCAGGTCTTCTCAAGGATCTCATCAATATTTTAACATTCACAGAATTTATTCACATCTATTATAGTATTTAGCTCTGATCTTTGGCATGAATATTTTAATTAGACACTTTTTACATTAGTCATTTCATTAGACATTAGAATAATGTAAGATTATTATTGATGAGAAGTTTATTTGTGCTAAAAATAAACATTCCTTCTGAAGATGTATTAATTAGGAAAGTACTTAAGGAAGTTCCCGTTTCAATTCTCCCTCCGTGGTCTGACACTGTCATACATACATACATACATATATATATATATATATATATATATATATATATATATATATACACACACACACATATATATGTATGTTTGTATATTTTGGTAGCAGTCTCTCTTGTAAACATATGTTGTTAAATATAACCGAAAAGGTAAGATTAATTATTCTAACACAAATTTTCTCAATATTTCTTATGTTTCTTTTCACTGTTGACAGTGAAAAGAAACATAAGAAATATTGAGAAAATTTGTGTTAGAATTATTAATCTTACCTTTTCGGTCATATTTAACAACATATATGTATGAGTTCTATTGTCATTTTTAGTGCGAAGAAAGCTGCAGATTATATTCCTGCATATACTGTAAAGAATTAACATCCAATTTTTTGTATTAATTTGTTTAATTCAGGTACAAAGTGGAGGATGTCCAAATTTGCTTCCTGAAGATGTAGTCACATCAACTCCTGCTATAGAACGAAAGAAAACTCAGAGCCGTATGGACTCCATAGAAGAAGGCAGTTTCTTTGGGGTTGGGAAACATAAAGATGGCTCTGACCTCGGTATGTAAAGCTTTTGTGGAACTGCTGTTCTTTTTCAGTCTTGTAAATGAAGACTACTGCTGTTAAAAATGTGAATAATAATTAATGAACACAAGTGTATTTGTTGGGTAACCAGGAGAGTAAAGATGGAAAGTAAGACCAGTATTAATGTAACAGTGTTAATTAGTATTAGCAATGATGTTGATTAAAGTAGCAAAGATATAATGAGACTTCAAGAAAGAACACATTTTATTTTGCATATAATTTATTAACAGGAACTAGTAATAATTTGTTTTGAGCCTTTAATATTGACAAGATGGATTATTTTATGGAAAAAACTTTTTGATATGTGTACTATCTTGGATACTTTTTAATAATTTTATTTCATAAGAATGCTGATGTTTAAAATACAATTACTGCAAGTTCTCACTGCGTATGTGAACTGGGAATTTGGATTATTCTTGTGATCCTACATGTAATTCTATGTCTGACATATCAAACTGTAAGACGGTACATAGATACTGTACAGAGCCTGCAGATGCCTCTGTAAATAGAAAAAGCCTTTTAATAATGTATGCACTTGAGAATTTGTCCTGTAAATTGTATATTGAAGGTAACTGTGGGGTTTTACAGTGATCATCTACCAAATTCGTCGCATTGAGCTAAATGGCAGGCCACATTTTTGTGTGTGGATATTACGTGATCCAGAGGAGCCGGGTGAGGGCGGTAAATCCCATACCAATCTAACTCTAGCGTCTACGTTCAGTGAGACTACCGAGGCATCTTTAGGCAATGTAAGTTAAGCAATGTTGTAACCTAGATGTTTAAAGCAAGTTATTTTTTCTTATTTAATCTCCACTTATATTTTAATGATATATGTTAATGAACCTTCAAAATATTTATAGCCTTTAAATAATCTTTGCCCTTTCTTTTATGCATATCTAAATATTTTCAGAATCATAGTCATATAACAAAATTGTTACTCTAGTGAAAGCTGTAAGTAATGCACAATCATTATCTGTAGCCTAAAGTCATCTGTTATTGCTGGTTCCTTGCAAGTAATTATGCATAATTATTATTTAACATTTTACATATTTACATATCTATTGAATATAAAACAAAATTAAAAGTTTCAATTTGGAATTCAAATCCAGAATTAACATTCATGATTCAGTTTTAGAGAGTTATTTATGAACAAATCCACAGGAGCCATGATGAGGGCTCCTACCTCATCAAGGCTAGTGTTCCCAGATGCGCTCTAGTCAACTGTGCCACCACATATTCAAAAGATTCTTTTGACAATCATAGCTGCTTGATGGGGTTCTGGGCGTTATTCTACTCCCCAAGCTGGCCTGAGGCCAGGCTTGTCTTGTGAGAGTTTGGTCCACCAGGCTGTTGCTTGGAGCGGCCCGCAGGCCCACATGTTGTGATACAGTCGACTAGAACACATCTGGGAACACTTGACTCATAGGTTCGAACCCTCATCAAGGCTCCTGTGGATTTGTTCTTTGATATATCACATTAATGTGATTTCTCTTGAGTTATTAATAATAGATTTGTCACTATTACAGTGAAGCATGAACATTTCTTCTGGGCACAAACTGGTGGCCTGTAACATTATCCTAGTGAAATCATTGTCAATCACAGCAAAAGCTTTATTACAGTTAAATCTTTAATGTATTCAATTGCTTACTTTTAGGTTTTTTAATAATGCAGGTTTTTTTAGGTCTGTCTATTGCTGCTGTCACTAAATAAGCAAGTTAATATATCAGATTTTGTTTACAGGATGTTGCATAATGAACCTTTAATGTTATTTACAGGCTATCAAAGCCCAAGCACAGAAGGAGGTGATTGATCTTGAAGAAGACTCTGATTCATCAGATGATGATGTTGAGAACAGTCAGACTAGTACTGATGGCAGTTCTGGGGCCGAGTATTCCCTCAACCATTCCAGGAGGGGTAACCGAGACACTTCTTCTAGTGTATGTATATACGCTCTTCTATACTGTACTGGCCATATTTCTTATTTTGTTTATCATTTTATTCCTACTGGGAGTTCTTGGCAGAAATGTCAGCTTTATTCTGGCAAAGACATTAAAGATCATAATAAATTTTACTAAATAATTTTACTCATTAGTTAAACATTTCTGAAAAGGAGCAAGCGCCGCTCAGCTGTACCAACAAATGTGTGTAATAGTTAGATGTATTCCCTCATGCATATATACTTCATAAGTATATATATACATTAGGGAATAGCTTTATTTCCCCTCATAAGAGCATAAGAATAAAGGTAACTGCAGAAGGCCTATTGACCCATATGAGACAGCTCCTATTTATAACCACCCAATCCCACACATATACATGTCCAACCCACGTTTGAAACCATCAGGGGACCCCCACCTCCACCACGTTACGTGGTAATTGGTTCCCCCTTGTGTTATGTCTTCCTTGGATGAGCAGAACTAACTAGAATTCTTCATGCATTATTTTAATTCTATCTATCTGTATCTCTGATGCATTATTTCCTCAGGGAATTTCCTACCCAAGGGTAACCACAACACAAAACTTTTGCCAGTTATTCAGTCATGTTCTAGCTTAATGTTATTAGAAGACCTATAGTATTTCCTAAGCAAACTTCCATTTTTATTTATCCAACATCTTTATACAGTTCAGTACTTCAATTCTGTTCAGTACTATATGGGATCAGCCCCATTTCGATACATCCGCAGATGCTTTTAGGAGACATTTTTGCTATGCCTGTTTCTCCTTATGTCTCGTTCATCTGAGAAAATTATTTAAACCGTATTTGGACCCATGTTAAAAGTGTCACCATTCATATCCTTATATTTTCTACTCTCCCCATAGCCTAATTTCACTGAACAAAATTTCTTTCAACTGAAATGATGGGCATCTGACTTTAGATGCAGGAGAACCTGACTGTAAAGAAATTCCACCCCTTATTGCCAGTGTATCAAAGGATCCTATCCTTAAATCATATTTTTTAAAGGTGGTGCCATTTCCCTAATATAGTTCAGATGAACCAGGTCTATAAACTTTCCTGCAAGTCTGTGAACTCTGGCCCTGCATGTTAATCAAGTCTGCACATCACCAACTTTGCTTAACACTTGTTCAGCTGAACCAGTGTTTTGCATAGTGGGTGAATAAATCCAGCCTCTAAAGTGTACATTACAATCACCTCAAGTTTAAGTTGTCTTTAATATTCATTCCCACACTACAGATAAGTGTGTGTATATACAGTGGAACCCTCCCTATCATTCTGGAACACTTTCCTGCCTCTCAGGGATGGTTCTTTTCCTTTGTGGAGCTTTCCTACTTGTATGGAACCCCCCTCCTCCTTCCTCCTATACTGGCATCATTGTTCATATACTATTATCTCTGAATATTTAAATTCTATTACTGTATTTTACAAACCACATAAATTGCGTGTATCAATTTTGGTCTTTTGCAGTACTGTACTCTGAAAGCTAGACCACTTGACCTCTTGCTAGCATAAACTGTATTGCAATTCATTTTACTACTTAATGTTTAATTCTAGTGCCCAGATGAGGGAGAAGAACTTCTAGTAGCAGGAGACTTCAGTAAACACTACACAGTCCTGCGGCAAATTGGAAAAGGAGCATTTGGATGTGTCAAGATGAGCGTCCACAATAGTGATGGTCTCTTGGTATGTCTCAACACTTAGCAGTTGGTTTGCATCTTATTAAGCAAAGTAATATGAACATTGTTGAAACATCTCCAGTCATTCTCTTAATTTTTCATGTATAATTTATTGCAGTAGACACTGGATTTGTTTTAATGTTCATCAAGGTAAGGTAATTATCAGGAGAAAGCAATGAACCATTATCACTTGGAATGAATATGTGGATAAGGATTTGGGATAGGATATGAGGATAAGGACTTGGGATAGGATATGAGTATAAATATTTGGGATGGGACGGGGGAAAGGAATGATGTCCATCCACTTGGACGGTCTGGAAATGAAAGCCGACCTGCAAGAAGTGAGACTGTCGCTCTACCATCCAGTTCAAGTGGTTGGGCTTAATGTTCATCAAGTGTTTGTTGGCTCTCAGAATGTGTTTCTCTGTTGCTTTTATGTATTGTTTTTTCATCTCATCATGGTTATCTGAATCTTGAGACTTGGCACATTAAATTTTTGCCTTATTTAATTTTCCCTATTTTTTGTATCATTACTGTACTATAATAGATTTTCATAATGGTTGCCTGGACTGATCAGAGGAAGAATTGGTTGTTCATGATATGTGTGCACTATGATGATAATGAGATGAACAGCTGACATGAAAGCAACACTGTGTTATGTATACATTATCATTACCTTTCCACTTGCATTGGGTGGGGAAGTGTCAGCCCAGAGAAGACAAAAGCGTGTGTTATTGTCAAATACCTTTATTCAGATACATTCACTCCCTCCTTACAAATGCTGCTTCTACCTGGCCTTGTCACTTTCCATATCCTATAGGTGCAACATCACCTTCCGGTCGTGGTGCTTTCTTCTGATAATTGAAGTATTAGAATACTACTTGATTTCCACATGTTCAGTTGTTTACACTTGTTCCATGCTTCCTCAAACTGAATACGTACGCACCATGTCTCCGAGTGTGTATTCAGTCGATTACTCACTCGCTCATCAATATGTTCACTGTATCCAAACTTTCTCGGTTCTCTCTCCTCAATCCTTCTGTTGAATTTTTGCGCATCACATCACCACCTGACATTTTCATTTACTGATGTATCTACACTCCTAGTACTTCACACACGTTTCTTAGATTATCCATTTCTATTGCTCAAACTTGATATTTCACATACATCATCATCTTCTAACCATTCATAAGTTAACACTCCTTTATATCTCTAGCCACGTATGTCAATCTTGTTTTTCCTAGACATCACTCTCTATACATCGGCCACTTTTCTTCCTTGGTCGATTCTGTTCTCAATTTAGATTGTATAAAATTATCATTTGGCAATTATACATTCCAGATATTAAAACTGACTTGACTATTTCCTGCACTTCATTCATACATATTTTGCTCAGATCTCCTCTCTACCACTTTAGCAGCTTGTTGCTGTTATTTTCTCGTTCATATAGAAACAATGCATACTTGAAATACCCTCCATTCTTTTTGTCTTTTTCTGTTTTCTGTCTTTTTTTTCTGTATAATAATAACTTTTATGTATCTGTGCTTACTTGATATTCCTCTGCAATCAATACTTATTTGCAAATTATAACTCCTTGATATTTTAATTATTACAGAGCCATTACCATAATATAGTTGCTATTATTGGCAGAATTAATTTGTGAAACCTCCTTTTAGGTTTAATCTAAATTAATCTATGAAACTCTTTTTTTTACAGGTGGTAACTAAGTTTATTAAGAAGAGTAAAGTGTATCAGGACAGCTGGGTTGATGACCTCCTTCTACGTAAAAGAGTGCCTTTAGAAGTGTCGCTTCTTATGACCCTAGATCATCCCAACATTGTGAGTAACTTAGTACTTTGCTATGTGAGGCTCGTGTCTCATATTATGGCTGAGAAGAGAGATGTGTCAAAAGAGAAAATTATAATCATTATAATAATAATAATAATACGTGCAGACAAATTTTTGGGTACAGTAATATGTTACACTTAGGTGCCAGTTGCAAAATAATGTAATTTATAATGTTACCTTATGGCCTTAAACTTTCTTAAACAAAATTTTAATTGGTGCATTATAATCAAACATAATAACTTTGTGTGTCTAGCAAGTGTATATATCACAAGATCCAACATGCAAATTGTTTGTTATTTCTGGGGGATTGTTTTTAAAGTGAATAACCCCAAAGTAACAAAATATAACATTTGTAATATATATATAGGAAGTCTAATAAAGGAATGAAGTGAAACTAAATTTTATTGCAGGTATGTGTGTTTGATATGTTTGAAAACGATGATTACTTTCAACTAGTAATGGAGAAATGGGGTGCAGGTATGGACTTGTTTGAGTTCATCGACCGTAATCCACTACTTGATGAATCTCTTGCGGCTTATATCTTCAGACAGGTCAGTCACATCATTGATTTTTTCATTTATGAGTACATGCTTCTGTGTACACTAGAAATCTTGAATTGGAATCATTCACACAACAAAAATTTAATAAACATTTTGAACGTAGATTGTGGTATTGGATGGTGACTTCCGAACTCCAAGTAAGTCAGGTTGTACTTCCGAATGAATTATTGTTGAACTCTTAAGATCATAGGGTTCAGTCAAGTGTGCATTTATCAAGACTGGTAGTGTGTGTGTGTGTGTAAAACCATGTATAATTATCATTTAGGTATAACTTATAATACACTGCACTAAGTATTTATTTCTTGGCTAGATTCATTGTAGCATTTCTGTTTTATATATTCAAGGCTCATTTTAGATATTTACCTAAACAAATTTGAACACATCATGAGAGGTGTACTGTAGTAAATGGATACTGAGCTGCTTCAACGTTTGAATCGTGGAACCATAAATGGAAGTTTTAGTCAAATGTGTTCCTGTTCGGGACACTCAACTTTAGTAGAAACAAGCATAGGAAATGTTTGCACCTGTTATTAGTTATAGTTGTCATATTAATAAATATTGGATATGTAAGTACTGTACTTCAAACTTTTCAGAAGTTAAATTTTACAAATGAAATTGTTGTTGAAAATAATTTAAGTACTGTATGGTACTGTAAATGTCCTATACACAAAGTTTTGTGAATATACTATAGTAAGTTACCCATCTATATGGGAATTGTATATGCTTTGATGAGTTCCACATTGTTGCAACCACTTGGGCTGGACGGTAGAGCGACGGTCTCGCTTTATGCAGGTTGGCATTCAATCCCCAAACCGTCCAAGTGGTTGGGCAGTATTCCTTAACCCCGTCCCATCCCAAATACTAATCCTGACCCCTCCTAAGTGCTATATAGCTGTATTGGCTTGGCACTTCCCCCTAATAATTCCTTCCTTTCATATTGTTGTAATTTACATGCATGTAGTAAACCTTTAATTTTGTCTATTTCTTTGCATGTGAACAGATTGTCTCTGCTCTAACCTACCTTCACTCTCTGAGCATCATACATCGAGATGTCAAAGATGAGAATGTGATATTAAATAACAAATTCCACGTCAAACTCATTGACTTTGGTTCTTCGGCGTTTACCAAACCTGGCAAGTTGTTTTCTCAGTTTGCCGGAACTGTGGAATATTGCAGTCCTGAAGTGCTTAAAGGAAACAGGTATGTTATAAGTTAAATAACAGTCATAAGGAATCTCATTAACACAACACGCTTTGGCATGGGTTTATTCTGTCCTGGTTCAGATATCACGAAGTCCTTGCTTATTTTCTGATGAACTGTGTATCTTTTATCTTGATCATGGCAGCTTAATATTTACTAAACAGTTCACAAGCTCAAAGACCGTCATTTCTGCAGGCTGAAGCCTCCCAACACCATGAAAGGTAGAAACTGGGTAATAAGAGTACTTAATGAGTCATTTTGTATAATTTTCAAATTCAATTGATGTATTTGATAGTTTGATAATTATATAATGAGAGTCTGGTCATTCATTTTTGCCAGAAGTAGCCTGTCATTTTTCATTTACTATCTTAAACAGTAAAAACTATAATAATGGTATTCCAAGCATTTATTGAATATTAAGTCTTCTCTGGAATCAGATGAGAAACAGACATAAGCAGAGGATGGAAGGGCTAGGATAAGATTACAGGAAATCTTGGACAGAGATTCGGGTGAATAGTAGAGATGAGGGAGCACAGGGTAATAAGCCAACCATTTTTGGCTTTGTAGGTCATTTAGATACTGTAACATGAGCTGATGTGTAGTTTGATTAGTATGATGTATGATAACATTGTGTGCTTGCATTCATGAGGGTAATGGGGATTTTTTTTTCCTGGCTGGCAATGTGTGCCTACTGTAACTTTCTACCCTTGGGTTAGTGACAAAGATCCAGTTTTTCCTGGAGCAGCGTTTTAGTGGTTTGATGACTAGTTTAGAGTCGATCATGATAGTTTCATCACTCCATATACAAATTTAATTTATAAATACTAAGTATACACTGGAGTTGATGGTTCCCCTTCTTTGTTTGTTAGGTTACTTAGTATTCTAAGTCTTGAATAATTCCGGTTTGCAAAGTCTTCTTTGATTGGTGGAATCTCAATATTTTGTCGAGTGTTCTCCATCATTTTATCACCACAACTAACTTGTAGTTTAATTAATTTATACCTGAATATTGTATATCAAATTGTGTTCACAAATGTTGACTATAACTTACATATGGTATAAAAGTGTTTTTAGCAGCCATACATGGAGACAATGCAAGACAAGTAGGGATAAATTAATTTTTGACATGACATGATGATGAATTTCTTTCTTAGATGCAAAATTTTCTTGCAGGTACAGTGGCTATGAGTTAGAAGTTTGGTCCCTAGGAGTTACCCTCTACACTCTGATGTATGGAGAAAACCCTTTTTACGACGTTGATGAAACTATCAAAGGCGACTTAACCTTCCCCGTAGTGCATTCACATGGTGGGTTATCAGGTTGTTTTCTTAAACTGTGATTCCTTTGAAGATAGAGTACTAAGGGAAATAGAGAGGGTAAGAGCATACTTCTTGAGTGTTGAGCAATGGATTACTGTAATGCCATGGAAATCAGTACTTGTAAGTACTGATTAGTATGGCCAAGAATCCGTTGAGTACCCCCAGTTATATTCTCTCTCCTGTCCTAGTAGTAGCTGGGGAAAAAGAAGGTCAGGAGCTATTTGAGCTTGCATGCCAAAGTATCAGTAAATTATCATCTAGTTCCCCAGCTGAATGACAGTTGTCCAACCAGTTCTCTGATCTGTGTATTCATTCAGAGTGGTGACAGCATTGTGAGTATAAGTAAAGGTACAGAGGTTCTTGAGATGATCAGTTACATAGAAATGTTTGTATTAATGGCTTAGGTATACACAGCAATGTGCTGCTACCCTATTCTATATGAAATATTAAAGATTGTACATAAAAAAACTAGCTCATCTAATATCCCCATCTCGCAGGATGGTTAGTCATACATGGGATCAGGAGAGCAGCAAGTCTGATCTAATAGCTGGCACTGGCCAAATCTGGGTACAGCGGAAGAATGTTTTCCAATGTTTGTGAGTGTATGAAGTTGTTACAGAGCTCAAAGTACCTCATACTATTTGGTCTGAAATAATTAATTCACATATATAGTGTTGGAGAGTATGTACCAGCTCTTGTTCACATGGTTTAAAATTGAAATGATCACCATTGGGGGATTCAGTGCCTGCAGCCACTTGCCATAGATATCGATATCCCAGCCTAATTCTAGCACTCGCAGTGTCACACTATCTAATGGATGTTTTGTGCTGTCCATTCATATAGTTCTCTGTTGTAGACATACCATAACTCTTTATACTCGTGTTTTCTAGCCTTTGAGTGTCGGTTACCGGTCTTCTGCCATCCCTAATTTCCTGAAATACTGTAGTTTTTGCAAGAGACACTCAGGTGTCATAAAGATAGAAACCAATGATTGACGGTTGATATCAATTATCTTAGCACACAGAATAGTCACTGATGTACCATGTGGGTGTTCTGGGGAAGTAAAACATATTAATTATGTAATTACCTTTATTACCCCAGCATGCTTCATATCTTTCATTTATATCGGCATTCATTCATATCTAATTTGCATCACTAAATCCAGCCTCTTGAAGAGAATTTAGGGTGTGTTTATAATTCTATTTTTCAGTATTTGATAGGATAGTATTAAGTCTTAAACCCTTGATATTTAAGGTTTTCAACATATTGCACAACTAATTCTCATTTGAGGTGTAAATGTGGATGAAGAAAATTATAAATTATTTAAGTTTTATCTAGTTGTTTTGCATTCACATTGTTATTTCAAGGTTATGAGTTAGTAAAGTTATTATAATTTGTATTCTGTGAACTAAGTGAACTTTTACTGGCAGAGCTGTGCTCCCTTCTGACGGGGATGCTGGAGAAAGACCCCAGAGCTCGTATGACCATGGATGAAGTGGCGGCACATCCGTGGACACAACTGGAGTGTAATTTGGAGGAATATGTTTTCCATGAGGTTGTCAGATGTTGTGAGTAATCTGGAGTTTTTAGATGTGGTTGGAGGTTGTGTGAAAGTTGGCAGTTTATACATAATGAATGAATAGATAAGATAATTAAATTAAATACTGATTTGCAATAATTGAGTGAAAATTTATTAGAAGACAAAGATGCATGGAACATTACATTGGTAAATAGGCTTATCAATAATATTTTCATTAGTTTTCATAAGACTTAGGGAGAGAAGAGAGGTATACCACACTAGAGTCATGCTGCTGGGATTCTAAAATTTAGAAATAAAATAATTAGAAAGAGGTACCTGGAGTTATATTAAAGGCACATTCTGCAAGCACCAACATAAAGGATTTTTATCTCGACACAAATCATTCCTATCTTGAACAACGAGGACTTGATGCCTGACCTTTGAACCTGAGTATTGTATACTTTAATGCTCTATAGACAACAAAAATCATTCATGATGATGTTGGGAGATAATGCTGAACAAAAGAAAATGTAATAAACATGGTGTGGATATGTAGTGACATATTCAGTTGTACGATATAGTTAACATTTTTGTTTAAGGGAGTTTATATGTTGTACTAATAGTATGTTACCTCAACAGCATACGATGAATGCCACCCCAAGAAATACATCACCGAATACAGTGAGAGTGATACTTCAATATCCACTGCTTCCAATAGTTTTATCTATGAGAATACTATGCAATATACCAGAAGGTCTCTCTCCTTCACTCCACAGGGTAGCCAGAATGATAATGATCATGTGTAAGTGCTCCTCCATTAAATTTCTGTTGAACCTAATGCTTTTTTGGGCCACATTTCTTGTGAATAATATTAGTATATTTAAGGCTTGATCGTAGTCAGGTGAGAAATGTTCATGTTTTAGTATTAAACAGTGGTAACCATTTGTCTGCTAAGTTGAGGCCTTCCTGTAGCAGTGTGCAGTCCTGTTTTATCCTTAACCTTCTCATTAGTTTTGCTTCATCTGCAGAATTTATGTACATAAGGAACATTAATAGTCCAATTATTGAGCTTTGTGATACCTTGCTTTCCACTTCCATCCTGTCTCTTCCTTGCTCACTATAACCCTATTTTATGTTTGTCGGATACTCTCTAATGCAGTGCAGTATGTTCTCTGGTTGAGAGGTACCTATGATATGCCTTCACTGGCTTACCCTACCTTTCCTCACATCACTACCACATCCTGCTCCATTAGTCACATGCCAACCAACATGTGCTCTTTAACACAGTTTCTTGCAAGATCTACACATAAAGATCTTGCATTTTCTCTACACATCATATCTCTCTTTTTTTTTTTCTTTTTTTTTTTTTGTAACGTGTTCTGTTTTTCTGCTTAATGTCCATTTGGTAATTTGTTTCAGTGATTTCTTGTATATCCCTCTAATAAAAAAAAAATTGGCAGCTGCCTCAGGTCTTCATCATTCCTTATTCAGGTGGTGCATAGAAGGTGTCATGAAATGACTTGTGAATATATTATGAAATGAATATATTCCACCCTCTTCTCCTTGCAATACTTTTCCTTGTTCTCTGGGAAAATTTCTCTACATGCCATGAAAGTGGGAAACGGTCATAAATTAAATAGCATAAATTAAAGGATTCAACTTGTTTCTTTTTTCCATTCCCATCTTCCACTTTACCCAAATGTCTTGTATATATTACGATAACAATAATATATAATGCTTGTAACTTGCAGACGTATGCAACGCTCGGCTACCTCCATAAGTTCTTCCCAATTAACATTAGAGAACTCTGGGGAAGAGGTGCCAGTTTATGACTTGTCGGAGTCAGCCGGAGCATCAAGAACCTCCAGCTCTCAATCTGCATCATCTATGAGGTACAGAATGCTGAATATATAGTTGTTACTGTAGCATAGTTTTTTAACATTTTTATGCTTTGGTATCTTTAATAACTAAACTAAACATGTGAAAGTAATCCTTGGCTGAAATGTTACGAGGAATCTTTGTGGTATCTCATTGTTTTGCTCCCCCAAGATAAATCCCTAATGGCTTTATGGTTAGTATTATGCTTACTTGGTCAGATGGACATTGGGCCAACACAGCAGTAATTTTGTCAAATGTCTTTGTTGTACTGGTGCTAGAAAGCTCACTGAAATAAATCTATCCAGCTATTTGTGACTACTGAATGTCCACTCATAACAAGTCTTTCCAAGCCCTATTTTGTATCACACGAACCATCAATCACCATTGTTGCCGACTGTCATTTTCCATATGAGGCTGTTATCCCCAACCCCCACCAGATGGCAGCACCAGTTAGTGGTCCCCAGACGTGTCCCTATGATGGTTGGTCAGGCTTGTAACTAGATACAGTAAAATGCTTTGTTTTCATCTTTAGAAATCTTGATTTTACTTTGCAGAGCATTTGTGCTGTATGTATCCTAAGGCATAGGATACATACAAATCCTGTACATAGATTACTGCTTGTAAGTGTGTGCTCAGTTTAAGTATTTTGTTTGACTCGTAATTTAATTGAATATTGAATCAGTCTTTCCTCTGGTCTGGTTCAGTTTTATTTCAGTAGTGGTCTCCTCTTGAGGTTTTGATGACATTATTCATTTCCATGGTTGTTTGTTCCAGTACTAGGTATTAAGAGGTTCACTAACACACTATCTTGGGCACACTCAGGCTGTTTGGTTGTTTCAGGAGTGCCAAGTCCTCTTAGCCAAGTCCTCTTAGCCAAGTAAGTCCACCTCATAAAGACATAGCAAAACCTCTCCTCTTAATTTTGGGTTGGGTTTGTCATCTCCTCTCTTCTATATTCTGGAGTGTGCACTGCTCCATCTCAGCCTGTTCATCCCTTGCTGGAGCCTTTGGTCTTTACACAAGATATTGGAGATTTTGACCTCTCAGCCTTTTAGGGGTTTCATGTCACTCAGGTATTGTATGTTATAAGACACCCTTGGATGGTTACCTACAGTATGTTTAGAATGTGCTGTGGCTCAGATGTACGAGGACTTAATTAATCACCCCATACGATCATCGGATTGCTAGGGGGAAGATATATTTGTGGAGATTACATTGTTTAGAGAGTTATTTGGTGATTAGCAGCTTGCAGACAATTAGGAGATTGTAGTGTTGGAAATTTTCTATGTTTTGGCTGCTCATCTTGGTAGTGGAAGGGATAAGTTGAGGATAGAAAAGGTGCTTGTCCCCGACATGCCAAGAGTGTCACCGGCAGCCTGTCATTGGCACAGTGTTCTACAGTAACCAGTGACATAAATTTAGGAAAATTACAAAGGTGACATAAAATTAGGGAAATTACAAAGGTGACAATCTTTGGGAAATTACAAAGGGGCTTTAATGATTTATATTTGCCCCTTTGAAATCCTGGCTTTATTGTTTATGGTCCAGGATAAGCTTTTGTGCATTTCCATCCTCATCCTAGCTTCAGTGAAAACCGAGACATCTCGCTTGAAGAAGAGATCCTATGTTACTTAGGACTTGACTTGTTCATTGTCAGGTAGATTATATTCTTTGTTTTGTTGGTATCTTATATTTGTTGTTCCAGGTTTCTTGGGTGATTAATGTTGTATCTTTGTTCCTTAATTCCTCGCACTGTTATGGCCTGTTTTAAGGCCTATTTCTGAGCTGTTGTACAAAATAGTCCTCTTAAGTTGGCCATAGGTGTATCTGAGTGGATGACCTTTGGAAGTTTGCCTCTTTCCAGGCATTCCTTCTAGTGCTGCCTTTTTCCAACATCTACGCTCAGGGCTTGTAGCAGGGATTTGGCCCATATCCATCAGGGTTTTTTTTGCTTATGCTATTGATATGTTGTATTTGAACTTTCCTCCTTCAGGTTGGGTTTTCCTCTTGGACACATGGGTGCCTTATCGTGGCTGACGAGGTTTCCATATTCTTAGCTCTAGGAATCCCACTCTGCAACGATGACGATATTTTATGGCTATATGTGAGTTTTCAGTCGCATATAGTCCTGGGGACCATTCAGGCTTGTTTGCATTTATGGCTATAATATTTTCAGAGGGAGGATTTTCACTTGCATCTCAGTCTTGCCTTGTTCTCCTGTATTAAATATATTTTATATACGTCAATCGGAATTTGATGGGGTTCTACTCGGAACCAGGTGTATAGCGTGGGTGCTATCTAGTGGTGGCTGGAGGTTGCAATCATGTCAGAAAACTGACAATTGGCAAGAGGGGTATGTGGCAGTCTTTTATGATGCTAAATAGAGTTTGTAAAGGCCTCTAAATGTTTGAGTGAACTTTCTGTAGTCACTTTGGGCTTGACTGAGTTTTTAGTAGTCCATAGCACTAGTATGACCCAGCACCAACATCTAAAAAAAGATCCTAATTGTATTGGTGCAGAATGTCAGCCTTCCCTAACTTACTGTCCTATGTGATCTTCCATGATCTTGTCTTAGGGAAAATTCTTATGTCTTGCTTAGAAAAAAATCCACATTTATTCTAAGCCTAATTTTGTTCACAGAAGTACAATAACAGTGGATTCCTCTTCGTTTTCGTGCTGTTCACCATCTTCGGAGTCATGTGAGAGCAGCGAGTCATCCACACAATTAGAATCAACACCATCATCTACCTCAGGTATAATTGTCATTAGCCTGTCACTAATATCCCCTATACTCACCCTAAATGATGATTGAGGATAAATATGAAATTCTCTTGTATAATTACACTTAACTGTAGTTGGGCTAAATTTAGAGCTTCAGTGCAAAATTTGTAATAATAATGATATGGGAGTAGATTTTTTGCTGTATATTAACATGTGTGAAACTGTATTGTGATATATTGGTTACAATTACTTAACAAAAGAAGTATTTCTTATGCATCAAACTAAAGATACAGTATGTAGTTTATTATTTAGAATTCATATTATATTTTTTAGTAAAGGTGAATAGATCTGTCAAAGTATATGGTAACTCCCATCATGAAATATTTGTTATTGGTTTACTCTTCATTAGAAATGATAATGTTAACCATTATGGTTCTAAAATGTTCATTCTCCAGAGGACAGTTAATGGTTTTAATAAATTTGGTAGTCTGGTAATTTTGTAATTACTTTTAAAATTATACCATGTATGTATATTGTAATTATCAAGAGTCATATTGGATTCTCTTTCCTTAGATACTGTGCCTGTATATAATAGCTATTTCATACATCCATCCACCCTGCTAGTAACCTTTTAATTGTTCTCGAAACCTTTTGCGACAAGGTGTGATTTGCAAGGTATACTGTTTAATAAATACTGTCTGCCTTTATATCAGGTGACAGGGGACATGTACACTTAGAAGTAGTGTTTTCACTGTGCAATTTTATAATAAAATGTACTGTTCCTTTTTAGCATTTAGAGAAATCTTTTTCCTCATATTTTTGCATTTACATTTAGAATAGATTTTAACACATGAGCAATTTTGGGTCCATAAATAATATGCTTTATTAGTGAGCTTTATTAAATTTTTCAGCAAATAATTTTCAAGAAGGTCTTTCTCCCTTTCACTCAGATTGTTGGTGTTTTCACACCCTAACCTTCCCTTTTTACCCCCAGAAGATTTAGAGAGTAAAAAAGTCAGTAGTGTTTACTACCAGAATATTTAATCACCAAATGAGTTTGTTTGCACTGTAGTAAAATCATAATTTAGTTTGACTGGGTCTTTTTTTGTTATCTAAAGAGCTGACACCTAGTTCAATTCCATATCGATACTTATTTGGTGACTAAAACTTCTTATGGTTCTCCAGAAACCTGCAAATGAACCCTTTACTTTCCCATACGTAGGAGATCTGTAGCAGAGTCAGCGTGCCAGTCTAGAGAGGTATGTAATTGGTACTTTGTGGTTCAGCACATGTTTGGAATCATACTTTAACAGTAATATTTGGTGGCTACTGAATAATTTACATGTAATTTCTTAAAAACTAAGCATTTGTCTAAGTGTGCATGTGTGTGTGTGTACAGTATATCTATCGGTATCAGTGAGAAGCAGGATTTGGTTCCTCGGGCCACCTCCTAGCTATTGGTATATGGGCTTTTATCTATAAACATTCTTGATCTCTATCATACTTGTTTCATGAAGCTGTGGATGCGGGTAGCATCCCAGCTTCTCCAAGTGTGTAACACTTGCTTACCACAAACATTATTTATGAGCGTAGTTGTAAAGGAAAAGGAAAAAGACCATGACCAACGTAGTAAAAGACCATGATTTTTAAAACTGGGTTATCAGTAATAAAATATTTTTGAAATGATAACCTTGAATCGAATATCAAATGAATGGAGGGGTGTTCTTTACATTAATATTGTGTCACAGTGAAAAGCTAGCCAATCAGATCGGTGGACAACAGTCCAGCTAATTGATGCATAAAAATTCCGCACAGAGCTTGGACTCTTCTCATGACAAGATCTAATTCATTGCTTTGTGACTTATCACTCCAGTAAGCTGGGATTGTATGGAGCTCTAACTATGAATTTCATTCTGTATGTACATAGATGGAAATGATACCTCAACCTCAAACTGTGTATTAATACCTGTAGAATTATGTGTGGACACTCAATGGAAGTGATGCACTCGGAAAAGCTCATCCAGTCGCTCGTTACAGAGGTAAAGGGCAAGATAATCCCACAAGCTTTTGTGTTCCAACCAGTCTATCCACAGGCTCATAATGTCCAAAAGTTTAGGCCTTTTACCGGTTTCATTTCGAGTATGTCCTAGATGGCGTTTCTGGCTCATGGATTTTGGTGCTCTGAGTAGCTACTCATAGAATGTTCCTTGGTGCATAGGATTCTGAACTCGCATGGTGTTGGGTCGGATGACCCATAGCCGATTACCTTTTAGGTTACTGGATGCTCTTCTGCTCATTCCCTAGTGAGCCCTATTTTCTCTGTGCTCCATGATGAAATAGCTTGGGGAGCCTCCCAGGAATCTAGCATTAAATGTAATGAAATGCCTGTGTTTGGTGGGTCCTCTTGGTACCTCCCTGGTCCTGCCTTTCCCTCCTTTCTGGGGTTCTCCGGGGGTCACTGTTAGACAACACAGGTGGACAGCCAGTTGGACTCCCTGGTTGCCAGGGCTGCCATCTGGTGATGGATGAATGTTATTAACTAGCAGTTAAAACTGGATAACACATGACCTAGTTTAATAATTTAATAATAATGTGTTAGGGTTACCAATGTTTTCCATGTACTTGCTTATTTTTTGGTGCTTTACCTTTCTGGTGGGTTTTCCTTTTGGCCTCAGATGATCTAGCGTCCCATGAAGCCCTTATCTTTGTTGAGGGGGTGGGGGGGGCAGATTCTGGTCCTTGGTTCCCTGTAGGCATTCAATACTTGCAAGGATCTGATGGTGTGCTTGAGGCTTGGAGCTAACCAAGTAGGCAGCTCAGGAAGCCATCAAAGAAGCCTGCCACAGAGGCATTTCATTACATTCAACACTGGATTTTTGTCCTGGGAATAGTACCTCTTTTGTTGCGTTCAAAACTGTATCTAGCCGAATTTATTTAAAATAATTCTGCAGTTGAATATTGGCAAACATACATTGTCATGACCAAGGTGTGGAAAGGCATTGGCCCGGTGATAAAAAGGGAATAATACAGTACAGTTTTATATGATTAAGAACACGGTGATAAGCATCATGGATAAATGTGCACAAGCGCTCTACGACAGTCATCCACAAGAGCAGTCCACCACTTTGTAAGATCAAATGTTCAATACTTTTCATTAATTAACATACATATATATATATATATATATATACTACATATAAATATTAATGCAGTTCAGTGATTGCAACTGGATAATTGCTGTACATTTTTTATCTTAATGTTTGCATGTGATAACCAAACATGTTGCTGCCATGATGTGTCATCAGGTTGTTGTTGTTGGGGTTTAGTATTAGCATATTTTCTGTTATCTGTGAATGGTCTGTGAATTCCTACCAGATCAGTGTTATTTATATATCTTACCTGCATGATTTTTTGTATATTTCTAGGCATGTTAATTGTTTTCTTGATTACCTTTTGGTGCATGGGAATTGTATAGGGCATTGTAGCAATTAAGAGGATGAAAACAATGTATCCTGGTAAAATCATAAATTTTTTATAACTTTTTCCATTTGATTGTTAGCACTCCTAACACCATTATTCATTATTATTAGCAGCCAGGAAAGATACATTTTTATTATATAAGAATGATTGCATAAAGGTTCTGCAGGCAAAGGGGGAAAAAGTTTTAAGCAAATTAATTTTTAAGTTTGTGAGAGTGGGTTTAACCTGACAGTGTTGTGGGGAGCGAGCTCTTGGTCATCTACAGTACTGTAATGGTTCATGAATTCCAAATGTTCTATTATACTGTATTTATTATATATTTGTTCTCCTCCTCCTCCCTTGCCCTCACTCCTTTATCCTCCTTCCTCCCCAACCCCTCACTTTGTCCTCCTTCCTCCCTCCCTCTTCCTCCTCTTCCCGGGTACAGACAAACGTTTGAATAGCCATTCTTTGAAGGTTCAATAGGAAGATATAATTCACTATATCATCCTTATATTCATTACAGCTGTTCACTGTTCCCTACACTGAAGACATTTATTGTCTAGAACTCGGTTGATTTCCCCTCGTCCTTATCCTATGGTGCTTGCATGACTGGTACATTTACACCTTGTTAATACAGGCCTGTACCTCACCAGTCTTTTGCAGTGTATGACATAAGTGCTCAGTGACTTGTGGTGTTTAGTCCTGGGTCTAAAGCCTACAATAATGATTATAATAACATGTCTGGTGGTAAGCTTCTTAACTTGTTTAAGCAAGTTTTAAATTTGGTCCACTGTTATTGTGTGTAGTTTTGATATACAATGGTGTACAGTACCAACAGGGTATAATCATCATTCATTGGCGCTGTAATACTCTTGTGCTCAGCACTAAGGGAGTTGACTTTTATACTTGGCAGAAAGGTGTAATTATTTAATTTTGGCATCAGACATAGCCAATGAAGTGTGCACAATCCAACATATTGTTGCTTCATATTGTTCCTACTTGTTGCTTCAGTCCTCGGTATCTAATGGTGCTAAATTTGTGAGCGGTTGGAATTTTAGAGCGCCTAAAGTTCTGTGCATGTCCAGAAATTATGCAGAAAGAGAACTGCATCGGAATTATTATAAAAGTTGTTAAGTTATTAAGAATAAGCTGTAAGCTTAGTAGTTAGTAGAGAAGCTACTCAAGGTAGAAACAAGGTAGGTAGATAGTTTATTAGTAGTTAGAGTTGTAAAATATTTAGTGTTTCATACTTAACCAGCCCTGAATCTTGGGAATAGATTCAGGAGGTGGTTATATAAATATAGTTTCTGCAAAAAATCCAATATTTGATATTTTTCTTTCAGATCCACTGAATTTTATGTAAGCAGAATTATAATGTTAATGTCCTTATATGTTTGACTGAAATTTTACTACCTCTTTTGGCAGCTACATACTATGACAACTTGAGCAGCACCGACACTCTTTCTGGCCATAGTTCAGAAGACAGTATTAACTTGTCCTCAGCTTTGGCAAAATATTGTAGACTTGAGAACTCTGAAGATGTGGCCGACTCCAACTATGAGAATAAAAGGGAGTGCAGTAAGTTGGACTCTGAGGATACAGAGTGCTTTAGTGACTCCAAATCAGAGAATACTAAAGAATATGATGACTCTGAATATGAAAATATTAAGGATGTCATAAATTCTGATTATGAAGACGCCTTGGTGAGTGTAGAGCCTGACTTTGAAAATGTCAAGCGTATGGGTGATTTAGGCTTTGTAAATGCACAAATATTTGACAATTCCAGTGCTGAGAACACAAAAGATTCAGATAATTCTGATTTACAGAAAGCTATGGAAGATTATAGTGCCAGCTCAAAAAAACAGAGTAAAATCTTTGACTTTAGAGAGAAAATTAATGGTGAAAACTCTGGAGGAAACCCCTTACCAGATATAGATAATGCAAAGGATGTAGAGTTTGATCAATTATTAGATCACCAGAATGAAATGGATCATACTAAGTTAAGACACCTGTGGGAAGGGAATTCTTTAGAGTTTGAAATGAAGTACATGAATAGTGAGCCGTCAGAGTACGAAGGTGATCAGTGGTATGATGATGTTAATCTGGCCTTGCCTGATCCATTCGATTCATGGTGGGATGATCTTGATTTAGATAGTCCATAATTCTGGAACAAAATCTGACATAACCCTCAGGTATTTAATGAGATACTGTACTAGTCTGAGCCAATGTTTTCCATCAGAAGTGGACCGTTTAATTGGTTATCCTCCTATTGCTTTACTGTCCTTGGTATATTTTAGATTCTCTTAGATGTTATGTCTTTGGTGGGGTTGTCAACATGTGCAAGGATTAGTTCAATTTTTCATTCTACATTGTGTTTCACACGGGATCTGAAGGTATTATATAATTTTCTTAAGTTCTTTTAGATTGATGTATTAAATATCATGTTGCTTGCAGACCATCCAAAGTCTACATGCTTCTATCTGTTATCTTGCAAATTTAAGAATAAAGATAAGATAAAGCTGAGAGCAGTGAGTTAATGGACATAGCTCATACGTAATCTCTACCGAGCACAATACTGGTAATCATAAGTTTTAATATTTTGTGTACATAGTAAGATGGGTATATTTTCTTTGTAGAAAGTTATTAATTATTAAAATACATCTACTTTCTTTGAATGAACAATTTTGTATGAGCTTATTTTTCCCCTGTCAAAAGATAATTGCATGTTAAGCTTATAAAGAAACCTAAGGTGCTTTTTAATGCTGACCCATTATGTAAATAGTTTGAGACAGAGCTTAGGTGAATATATATTCAGGGACCTGTGCTTGGAAAGATATTAATCCATAATGACCTTGTACCATTTATACTGGGCACAGCATATTACCCCAAGATACTCAGTGTATTGACCCCCGAGCACCTTACAGTGTTAACGTTAAGCTTCCGTTATGTTTCTCATTACTAAGTACATTCCAGACTTGATTATTCCAATGAGTAAGGAAAGGTGTTACAGTTTTGGCTTACACATAAATTGGAGAATGGATATGATTATAATCATCAAGAGGGCATTAGTACTTAATGATAGCTGCCTGATTTAATAGTTTATGAAGAAGCCGCAGGTTGCATATGTAACGTGGTTTTCTTTTTCATTAATGTTTTGTTTAATTCTCTCCCCCAGTGATTTGAGATAAAATGACTCGCTCAACATATTTTTCATAAGCTATTTCACAAAACCATGACTATCCCTTCATTGTAAAATACACATAATGAGGTCCATATGTGGACAAATGGATAGCAGTATAAATTATTTACATTTTTAATGCTAAATTCTAAAAATAAATTTTTGCATACGAGTGTACTTTTAAGTGCAAGGGGAGAATTATGATTGGTATACTAATAATAAATAAGTTCTTTAATCTACTATAGTCTCTATATCACAGTTGCTAATGCACTTTTCTTCTTTAGATATTCTAATTCTTCACTACTCAGTACCATGCTAACATTCCTTCCACTTGCATTCTAATTTTTACTGCTGTTCTAATATCAAGACAAAATTTGTCCCTGTTCAGACTGTTTGTATAGCAAAGCGATGATGTTTTGTAATACACATTGGCAAGCTTAGCCAATAACAACCAGCTATAATTTTGAAGGTCGAATTTGATTTTTTCTATTGATTGGCAGTGTTGCCGACATAACAGATGTATGGTTCATAATGCAATTCTTAAGCAAGTTGAACAAATTTTAACAGCAAAGAAACTTCTACCTTCAGCCTCAACAATAATTTTTAAGGAGTTATTCAATCTTCTCCTTATTACCTATCAATTGGTAAACTGTTACTTAGAATTGCTCAGTGAAATGTCATGTGAGCTGCGCAAGCCCCTATCTTGTCTGACCACTGACATTAATTATTTTTCATGGGTAACTAATAAATATTATTTATTTCTTGATAACTAATTAACCATATCACAGCAAAGAGAAGAAAAATGTGTTAATAATTGTTTTTTCTCTTGATTCACATATTATTAAAATGCTTCATAAGACAAGAAATGACTTTTTATAATAATTGACTGGCACTTGATTGGTATTCCGGTGCCATGTGATTCCCAGTATCATTCGGTCAATATGATTGTATAATGTAAATATTTTGCAATGCTACTGAGTAGGTTCATTAACATCCCACTCTCTTAAGAGAATCCAAACATTACAGTTGTGGAATAGACCAGACTTACAAATGCACATGTGTTAATGACGTGTTTTAGCCGCTGTTCCAGAGTTATGGACATTGTATGAATACCACCACAGCTGTTCCAGAGTTATGGACATTGTATGAATACCACCACAGCTGTTCCAGAGTTATGGACATTGTATGAATACCACCACAGCTGTTCCAGAGTTATGGACATTGTATGAATACCACCACAGCTGTTCCAGAGTTATGGACATTGTATGAATACCACCACAGCTGTTTCACTGCCCCGCTCATCACTAGTTTAAGTTTGTTTTACTTTAAGCTCTTGAGACCTTGAGGTTCTTAACTTGAGTATAAAGTTATTATGCTATACATGTGTGTTTTTATTATGATATATTTTTTTAAGTTTTTAATCGTGTACTGATGCTTAGCAAAGTAAATTGAGACCTTTGCTTGTGCTGATTGAAACTCATACTTTATGATTACAAATATCCAAGAGCAAGGGCAACATAGTGTTTTATTTAGCAAGTGTATCCTTAGTAGGAAAATATTCTATCGACTATTTTTTTGCGGATGTTATATATGTGTTGTTGGGCAGTAAGATGCATTTTTTTTATTTCAATCAATGATGGCAATGTTTTGGTTACTTAAGTTATTTTAGCCTTGCTATTATAATCATTTTTACTACTGTATTTTATTTTAGTGTATATATTTGGTTTTGTATTTGTAATATGAAGCAGCTAACACACATACTTCTTTAATAAAGAAAATGTGTACCCAACTTTTTCACTGTAACAATATTTTTGTAGTTTAAAGACAAATTATATCAAGGAAAGAATGTATGTTGAATAAGTTACTTACTGCCAAGTCTTGTTATTATACAAGTATTAGTTCATCAAACCTATTTTCATTTCAGTGAGGTGGCTTCATTTAGTTGGCCCAAGTAGCCAAGAGGGCATGTAAGTAATTGTATACAAACACTTTACCTGATTTCTTCAAAAGTTGAGGTTCAAGATAAATTTGTAGATGTTATTAAAGGATGTAGGTACTAAAGTGATGCTAGTCAGCAATGCCTTATTCCAAATAGCATGTCAGAGAGAAGTTGACTGTACATTGATGTGATGTTCTTATGGAACTTAGTGCCCAAGTTCCCAACACAAAGAAATTTTATTTTTAGGTTACTCTACTTTTAATATTAACAATGGTACAAAATATGCAGCATTGTGATAAATGCCACTAAACATTGATTATATCATCAAACCACTTCTTAACTTTGTCATTCTCTGAGCGTAACCTTAAAGTTTCAATTACGTGTATATCGAGAGCCATCTCGTGTAAGTTTTTGAAATGTTTGTTTTTAACTACTGTACTTCAGTTTCTTTCATATCACTCATCATATAAATAGATTAATGCTAGAATAATTGAATGTGTGTTAAACATACACATTATATATATATACACACACACCTTTGCACGTGCGTGCACACACCTTTGCACGTGCGTGCACACACCTTTGCACGTGCGTGCATACGCGCGCGCACACACACCTTTGTACGTGCGTGCACACGCGCGCACACACACACCTTTGTACGTGCGTGCACATGCACACACACACACACTTTTTCACGTGCGTGCACATGCGCGGGCACACACACCTTTGCACGTGCGTGCACACGCGCGCACACACACACCTTTGCACGTGCGTGCACATGCACGCACACACACACACCTTTGCACGTGCGTGCACACGCACACACACGCACACACACCACACACACACATACCGAAAGAGAGAGTTCAACCCTCGCAAGCACAACTAGGCAAGTACACACTTCTGCGTGCGCACGCGCGCGCACACACACACACACACACACACACACTAATATATATATATATATATATATATATATATATATATATATATATATATGACAAGCACAAATATAGCAAATATGATAAACATTACAATGTGGAGCACAGTGGTGGACATCTGTGATCTCATAATGCTAGCAACAAAGCATTGTATTTTTTAACCGAGACATGATTTTCAATAAGTTTGTGAAAGGAGCCATTAAGAGTATTTGAGTTTAAGCTTATACATTAAGAGTGTAATGCAATGTATTTGCTGCTGGTTATCAGTTACCCTTCAAATATGATGGTCAAATTAAAGGAAAGACAAAGTATTGGTTTATTTATCCTCCTTATAGGCCTGTTGCAAATGTTGGAAATCCTTATTCAGATTTCAAATATCACTTATATTGCAAGCTGCATCCTTTGGATAAATATATGGTCAGCTATTAGAAATATAAACATTGTTTACTATTAAATATGACTTATCCCTGTAGCCTTCTTTATAGCAGTGTTTAGACCAGTGTTCCCTTGACAAATAGGCTTCTTTCCTTATTAGTAAGCCCTTTCTGGTTAGTAAACCAGACTCCGAAGTGATTCACTATGGGGTTCTCCGTCATCTTTCTCTGCTCCTTGCAGTATTTGTTGCGTATTTATAACCGTATTTGGGAGTCAACTTTGGCCCCAAAGATTGGCTTGAGGGGGGGGCAGTTCTCATTAGAAAATAGTACTGTACTCGGGGACTTTCCCCTAAGGATCTCTGTCCCATTACCCTGACTAGTTATCTGCAAACTCTTTGAATATATGATTAATGTACATCTTGTGTGGATCCTGGAACCCACGCTAGATGTACCTTTACTACCTCACTCTCCCACTTTAGTTTTTCAAGTTTTGTAGGATGACATATTTTTGTGGACTTGGAGGTCCACATTTGTACTGCCTTTGCTGTGAATTCCTCCTGTTGTAGTTTTTTTTACTTGAAGGGTTTGCGACCATTTGAAAATTCAATATTTTAGTTCAACTACATTCTTTTGGCCTTCACAGCACACTCCTGCTTTTCCTCTCTCGTCATTTGTTTCAAGTGAGAGTTGGTGCTGCTCTCTTAAATTCTTCAATAATAAGAAGACATTCTCCACGGTAGTGTTCTGAGCACTAAGGTGAGCTGAGCTGACCACTCTCTTCCCTAAATGGTCTCCTATCCACCTGGCATTTTCTCAGCTCTTTACGTTGACAATCTCTCTGCTGTCATGCTCTTCACTCCAACACCAGCTCTCTATTGTCCAAAATGCATTGTTCCACGGTTGTGTTCCTACTTGAAGAATGTCCCGATTTTCAGGTCAATTGTATGTCTTGCTTTCATAATGTTCCTCAACAAAATCCTTGATGAATCGGGTACCTTTGATATCGCTCGCCTTGTCTTTTTTTCTCGTATTTTCATCATGAGTGATAATTAGAACTTTTGAATATTCAACGACATGGATGGCATTATGGAGTATTTCCAGCTTGGCACCATATTTCTTTAATTACTGTACTTACTCCCTTTAAACATAAGGGGCATAACTAGCTGACCCCTTCTGAGTGTTGAAAAGACACTTCACAAAAACCACCACCATTACTGCTACCAGAATTTTCTGAAACCACCACCACAACTGCTATCACAAATCATTAAAACCACTATCTACAACACCACTAGCACCACCTTCCCTCTTCACTTTTGTTACATCACTGCCTTCATCAGAAAGTAAAAAT